TGTCCTGGGATGGGGAGATATCACGAACAGAGATCTGGGGCGGTGCTAATATGATCCCGTGGAGACTGGAGCCGCATGGTGAACTGTTGCGAGGGCACGTTGGAACATTCGGGAACGCAATTGAGAGATCTGGACAAGAAGGGTGGGCATCATGTGGGGTGGGTGCCAACTTGGTTGTGAAGTCAGACTACCCGCGCCCGTGCGCCGGCTAGCGCCGCAGTCGCGAAGTCCATCGCGGTAGGCTGGGCTGGCAGCTCTCGCACGCGCCGGAGCTCTGTGTATAAGTTGTATACCTCACCAATTGCGCCGCCATGCCGCCCTTCAAGGATGACCAGATCATCGTCAGTCCCACATGCGCACCTGATCACTCGCCGCATGCGCTAACACCCTGCAGATTATTTCGCCCGGCTCCGAGACGACTGTCGCGCAGCTGGGCCTGCCCGAGTCTTTCACCCCGGCGCGCCTCCGCCTGAGGTCGCGCATGTTCCCCGCTGAGAAGGAGGGCGAGTTTGAGCCATACAAGATACGGAGACGGCAGGATCGCCCAGCACCAGAGAATGGCGAGGCCAAGGACGAGTCGCAAGAAGACAGCAAGCCCGCTGAGGGTGAAGAGGAGGTCATATGGGACGAGGACCGTGTCTCAGAAGAAGGCGCCATATGGCCCATTCAGCAGGGCAGGATTGTCGACTGGCCATGCTTCTTCGCTCTCATCACTCACGTCTACAACTCACTAAACCCGCCCTTTCACACTCCGATCCTCCTCATTGCCCAGCCAGCATGGACACCGCGAGAGCATGAGAAACTCACGCAGTTCTTTTTCGAGAAATTCAAGGTCCCCGCTTTCGGCTTGATGGACGCAGCACTGGCGACAGCCTGGGCATATGGCGTACACACGGCAACTGTCATCGATGTCGGCAAAGACAAGGCAGACGTGACTGCTGTCAGCGAGTTTATCCCGCATACACAGGGTAGAGTCATCTCGCTAGCAGGATGTGGAGGTGAAGCCTTTACTGAAGGTCTCCTCGCCAAACTGAAGCCCAAAGGCTTTAACCGCGACATGTGCGAACAGCTCAAGAGGTCACCGATATGCGAGCTTCTCCCTCCAGGAGTCCCACTACCAGGATCAAAAGATGCGCCTGTCGCCGACGGCGTGAGCAACCCTGCGGCGGCAGCTTCCACAGGAGCACCAGGATCCGGCGCTGCAGCTGCAGCTGCAATCGGAAACGTGCCACGAGGTCCTGGTGTAGATACCGAAGTTGGAGAAGAAGGAACTGGTGAGGACGAGGGAGTTCTAGATGTCGCAAGCATTGTGGCTGGTGGCAAGATGTCAGAGTACCTTGCCAAGAAGGAGAAGGAGAAGCAAGAAAAGGCCAATGCTAAAAAGAAGGGCGCTCCAGCTCCCCAAGCAAACAAGCCTGTAAAGCTACCCAACTCCAAGCTTGAAAAGGCTACATTCCTGTACGAGGACCATGCGCTCCTGGATACCCTGAAGAACATGAACCTGAATAATCAAGAGATGGCTGATGCGAAGGGGGCGTTGGATGAGGGTCCCAGCAGGAAACCAAATGAAAACGAGGAGGAGGGTGAGGCTGCTGCAACCGCCGAGGCAAACGGCACTGGCGAAGCCAACAACACAAACAAGCGGACAGGATCAATAAGACGTGAAATAGAAGTTGGAAATGAGCGATTCATGGCAGACGGAAATGGCACACTAGAGAAGATTGCAGATGCCGTATACAGGGTAATCTCATCCATTGACGAGGTTGGCAAACGAAGCGATCTTTGGGATCAGTTGATTGTCTGTGGCAATGGAGCGAAGCTACGAGGTAAGCTACACTATTCACACAAAAAGCTATTCTATAGCATACTAACACGAACTCAGGCTTTAGGGAATCTCTCATACAGACCATCCAGGCCAAGTATCTAGTGTCGCCCTCATCTGCTACCATCTTCACATCTGAGATCCCATCCAATGTCTCAACACCTGCGGGTACTGGAACCAATACGCCACAACCCCAACTTGGCCCACATGGTAACTCTCAAGTCAACCCACTTCTACTAGCAGCTACCACGGCTCAGACGCAGCACATGATGCCCCATGGAGGCATGCCTGGCATGTCACATAACTTGCACTCTTCACATGGCCAAACGCCCACGTCTGTTAAGTTCGTCAAACCCCCGGAGTACTTCCCCGAATTCAAAGAGGTTGGCTTCGACGAGTCAACCTTCTTGGGCGCTCAGGTCGCGGCCAAAGTCATTTTTGTAGTCGACCAAGGTCAAAGTAAGGGTTACATGACGCGTCCAGATTACAACGATCAAGGCCCACAAGCGATTCATGACTACAGCCTATAATAATCATACCCACGCGCATCCTGTTCTGGATAGCGGCTCTTGCTTGGCAGGCAGATATGGGCAGGTTGTGTTCCGCTTTCGCGGAGAAAGCTATCATGGAGTTTTCAGGCGTGGTGTAAATGGGGAATATCCTGGCGTTGCTTGTACCTGGCCAAAACAAAAGGAAAGTTATGGGTGTGTGTGCAGACGTGGAAGGACTATTGGGAAGCCTGTAGGTGATGGCCGCAGCGATAGGCTGCCGGCGCATTGCGGAAGTGTTTAGTCCAAGAAACATGCAAACTTCCTTTTTGTGTGGCTCCCATCCATTGTTTCATCCTGCCGTATTGTGGGGTTGTGATTGACCATGTATGAGGAAGCGAGAGCTGAGCACTAAGCCCCTTTCACATTTTACTTTTCCCGAATGTGATGGTGGTAGTGAATTGCTGATCGGAGGACGCCGATGACCCCAGAAGTACCTAGTGACGCCCCGGTTCGGCTCCACGTGGTAAACATTAGCGACCCCCCGCTAGACCGCTTATAACCCGTCATCCCTTCTCAGGAACTGATAAAGGACGCCGGCTGTCCCTCTTCAATTCTGTACACTTCCATTGCTGAGATCTGAGTGTATATAAGGTGCTCTCTTTGGCCTTTTTTCTACACTTGTATCACAATTTGATTTTCTTTTTTTTCTCAGCGAACAAGAACGATTGGAACACTAAGCCCGCGGATTTATCGGTGTCTTGGTCCGAAACTCTGTCGACTTCAGTGGCAAGAGCGGTGTATCTGTCTCAATTCCAAATAGAATTTCTGGGGTTTACATAAGAGCAGCAAAAGGACCAAGAGTTTTACTTGGGACATTCAAGAAAAAAATGGCAGCATCAACACCTATACCAGACACCATCTACTTTGGCCCCTTCGTCCACAGCATATCCCTCAGCACGCTAGAAATCGAGCCCAATGGCGCCATCGGTGTAGACTCCAATGGCATCATTCGCTTTGTAAACCGCAACGTGGAGTCTCTGGCCTCCCTTCTCTCTTCCCTGGACACTGCCTGGACAGACGCCAAGGTCATCTCGATCAGCGAAACCAGCAACGGATTCTTCTTCCCGGGCTTCATCGACACCCACGTCCACGCGCCCCAGCACCCGAATACCGGACTATTCGGCAAGACCACGCTCCTGGATTGGTTGCAGAAGTACACCTTCCCCACTGAATCCTCCTTCTCCGATATCAAGCGTGCGTACCGCGTGTACACAAACTTCGTGTCAAGAACACTCTCACATGGCACAACCACAGCCGCATACTACGCCACTATCCACGTACCCGCCACCAACACCCTCGCCGACATATGTCTGGAGCGCGGCCAGCGCGCCCTCATAGGCCGCGTATGCATGAACAGCGACCTAAGCCCGGAATACTACCGCGACACCAGCGCAGAACAAAGCTACCTAGACTCCAAATCCAGCATCGACTACATCCGCTCCATCGACCCCAAAGGCACCATCGTAAAACCAATCATAACCCCGCGCTTCGCCCCCTCCTGCACCCCCGACTGCCTCAGCGCAATGGGCCGCCTAGCCCAAGAAACAGACGCCCACATCCAAACCCACATTTCCGAAAACAAAGGCGAAATCGAACTCGTCAAGAGCTTATTCCCTTATTCAAAGAGCTATGCGGATGTCTACGATTCCCACGGTCTCCTTACCGATAAAACTATCCTAGCACATTGCGTGCATCTTACCCCCGAGGAACGCAGTTTGATCCTCGCCCGGAAAAGCAAAATTAGCCATTGTCCTGCGTCGAATACGGCGATAACATCTGGTTGTGCTCCTATCCGCTCGTTGCTAGATGAAGGCCACACGGTCGGCTTGGGAACAGACATCTCCGGCGGTTTTTCGCCTTCTATCCTGGAAAATGTACGTCAGGCGATTTGGGTATCGCGACACCTGTGCATCCAGACGTCTTCGGATGCTGTCAAGCTATCTACAGAAGAGGCTTTGTACCTCGCTACCCGCGGTGGTGCCGCAGTTGTGGGTCTGCAAGATACAGTTGGCGGGTTTGAAGTCGGGAAGGAGTGGGATGCGCAGATGATCAATCTGGGTGCTGTGGGTGAGTTTGGGAGTGAGGCGGGTGCGTTCGAGGAGGGGCCGGTGGATGTGTTTGGGTGGGAGAGTTGGCAGGATAAGGTAGAGAAGTGGGTGTATAGTGGGGATGATAGGAATACGGTTGCGGTTTGGGTTAGGGGGCGGTTGGTGCATTGTACAGAGAAGTATCCGTATCGGAAAGAGGTTGGGTATGCGCCATCGAAGGGATGTACGCCTTGAGTTTAGGTGCCGGGTGTCGGCGTGAGAAGATATCGATGAGAAAGTAGTGATGACGGCATAAATGTAAGGAATAGAAATTATTACGATGTCTTACGCTGGAAACTATTGGTGACGATTGTATTGCAATGTTTCTTGTGAAAACCTCTTCTGGAAATTGCAGTGTGAAGAAAAGAGTTTTTTTCAAAGTTCACATTGACGCTACTTCAAATTGGTACACAGTGTGCCTCTGTGATATTTGTTAAAGACTTTGCGGACTACAAAAGGTACTGGCAATAAGGGTATAACTATCCAGAAAATAAATAGAAAAAAACGATATCGTCTAATGCGTGATAATCAGACTAATGGCTAGCCTATCTTGCGTTTATGTCCTTCAATCTCTAAAATGATGAGTAGCTCGTCCATGCTGAAAAGCGTTGGATTAAGTTCCAAAGATTCGTATGCATTAAATGCTAGAGAACGCAGATCTTCTGCCGAGGAAGATTTAGGAGCTCGATCGAGGAGATGAGCTATCAGAACTTCTGGTGAAATACCGTATTCGATAGTGATGTCGCCACCATCACTTGCGAGTCCGCACAAGGCGTACACCTTGTCGAGGATATTTGAAGCTTTGGAACTTGCGTAGTACACGATAAGTTCAGCAATAGGACTCCATCGCTGTGTCTCGCGAATTTTTTGCCAGTCAAATACGAGACGCATGGCTGTAGTGGCGTAAAGGTGTACTACGTGCTCTGGGTCTTTCTCGTATATAGTGGCTACAAAAACCATAAATCTTACTAAGAGTGTCCAATGTAACTCCTTTGATCCGCAGTGTACTGAAATATCTTTGGCAACCATGGTTTCTTGTATAATCCAAATCCTTGTCCAGTAGTCTCGGGAAAAAAGGTGTTCCAGAGCATTCGTTGTTCTCTCGTCCCGGATGAAATGCGATTCGTGCATAGAATTGCCAGATCTCCTGTTTGATACCCATGTATATGCGCTGGCCACTGCGTCCATAGCCATGTCGCTTGTATTGTCTTCGCTAGCTTCGCCGAGCCAGATCATGACGCTCGTAGCAGTGCTGTAGATACGTCGCATCATTTGAACTTGGTGGTTCTTTTCCAATGTATTGCTTTGGTCGATGCAGATAGCATCAATCCAGTAGAATCCCCATTGCCTCTGGATACGCATCTGCTCTAGAAAGGCCCACAGATTGCGGGAAATAGGAAATCCGTATCCATTGAGACGTATTTGGTGAGTATTCCTTATCCGTCCCCAATTGTAAGACAGTGCTTTGTAAGCTGGACAGCTCTCGTCGAACGAATAAGACAGAAGACTGCACTCGATTAAAGAGACTTGCGTGCTCGGATGCAACATAAGAAGTCTGAATCGAGGGGCTGAGGTATCATGGCTGAGCGGTGCCAAGAAATAGGGGGTTTCCATGACTGAGAATATTATGAAAGGCTGTTATGGCGCGACTAAGGTGGATATAGTAAGTTTTTGGGCGGTGAGCGGTAGCTTTGCAAGGACTATGCATCTGTTCGATATTATAGCGTGCTGTTGCTCCACAGGGCACAATATGTATTTCGAAATGAACGATAGAGCAGGTACTGGACAAGGGGAAGAGAAGGTGTTTGTGTTGAGGAGTGATGAGGAATGAGGTATGAACGAGGTAGTTTACAAGAAAGCGTATTTCTTGGTAAACTAGGCAGGCGCATGCAGCAACGGGGCAGTGCGGAAATACGTATGTGACACCTCCTTTCTCAGCACCACTAATAGCACCAATCACCTTGCATAAAAGTTTCGAAATAGGTTGGTGGCGCATCGGGCTGTAACATTGAGGGTGAGAATGGCATATTCGGCTGAATCCAGGAGAAAATCGCGGGGACAATAGAATGTGCAAACAATTCTTCTGCATGTCATGGCTATAGACCCCTTGTCATGATTATTATTTGGAGTTATGCTATGCTTGACACTGGATTTTCGCTCCAAGATTACATGTACACTTGATCATATGGCGATCGAATCGCATGACAAAAAAAGCAATCAAGCCAGGTAGAGATTACGGATCTGAATGTGAGGTTGCTCGAAAAACTCGCCGTCCATCGCGCCATACATGAAGCAATCACCAACCATTTGGAAAGCGTCAAGTAAACAACTAGCAGTGGGACGAGCATGCTCTTCCCCCCCATCCTCGCTTCCCGGAACAAGAGTTGTCCAGTCGTTGTTGTTGATAGATATAGGTGAGCCTTGTCGGACCATGAACGGAACGTTGCTACCCTTGAAAATATAGATGCTGTCACCCTCGGCAGTTGTCTTTGGTCCGAAACCTATGTAACCAGAGCTAGTGAGGAAGAAGCGCCGAGAAGTCGTTGCGTTTTTGAGAGCATGGTGAATTGCTGAAATGCCTTCGTCAAGATCGCGCTTGCTGAATGCCGCAGAACGGCTAAACGTATCACGGGATATGCAGCGAGACCACATGCTCCACGCCCTGAAAGCCTCATAGTCTTCTGGTCTGGCGCGCCGATAAGACTCTTGCTTCCAGTAAGTATCTGGATCCGTGCTAGTACGTACAACATCTCCAATAAGTGTACGCCAGAAAGCGTTTTCGTAGGTCCCGCCGCTGGGGTATGCGTGATTTGATTGCTCGAGCGATTTGGTGAGTAGATTCCAAGATCTTATGACGGCACATGTGTCACTGATTTGCGTGTGTCGACTGACTTCCCCTACTGTCGTCACACTATCAACATACACTGCCTCAACATCAAGAAGTTGGTTTATCGGATGGAATCGAACAGTTCCTATTCGAGATCCAGACGCTTTGTAAATGCATAGAGAGTTCACTCTTTCAATCTCGACTGGAAGACATGGGAGCGACCAGTCCATGGCCCAAGAAGGGATGCCGTCCAGTCGCTTCCGGTTAAGGACAGCCTCAAGATCACCCGCAAGAACTGATAATGACCCAGCTCGTTGTATGTTAGTCACAGTTGTGCTCGTAAAAGTTGCAGCAGTATCAGAAGTGTAATCAGGTAACAATGGTGGAAGGCCTTGCCAGTTAGTAGTCAGACCAAGGAGGGCAAAGACCTTGTCCTGCTTCTCAGTCGCCTGCAGTGGTCTAAATCTCCATAGCAGCTGCAATATCGTTCCACTATTTGAACGAGCGAGGTGTTGAAGTCTGATACCCTCTATGCGAAGCACAAAGTCACTGAACTGATCTAGAATGTCTTGTCCCTGGAGAGTACCAGCCAAGTCCAGACATAATGTGTGACGTTGTTTAATGTGATTGGTAGCAGCTTTGGCAAACATTGACCAGGGGGCTGACAACACTCCGTATCGAATGGTAGCTTTGCGGGACAATACAGTCTCTTGAATGACCCACACACGTTGCCACTGTTGCTATCAGCTTATGCCATGAGGAAGTGAAAGAGAGATGAACCCAAGGTCTACTCATCAGTCTTGCAAGACCTGCCCAAACTCTGGAAGATCTTGAACCACGCACATGAGCTCTTGCGAGCACCAAGCCATGCCAGTTGCTAGTAACTCCATGCTTTTGTAATGCGACAGTCTTTTCGTGGTTTAAAGCATTAAGCAAGGGATATGAAGTGCTTTCCGCATAGTCTTGTAACAAGCAAAAGGCTCCAAAGACATCGGAGCCAGTGCTGTCATCGTCAACGCGGGGGCGTCCCATCAGCTGTACATTCATATTAGACGCACTAGAGCGCTTAAACTCGAGCAAATATGCGTTACGCAGCTCATTGTCGTTTGAATCGCCTGTCCATGTTGGTTCTAGGGGAATGTTTTTGGATCTGCGGTTTGTCGAAGCACTGATCGGTCGCTGGACAAAACATGTTCTCAAAAGATCGGTTCCGACATCCTCGTTAGCAGCAGGCTCGCCCAGCCAAATCATGGTTTCTTTGCTATTACGGTATATTTCACCCATCAGACCAACTTGCTGTGTGCGCTCCAAAGTATCATCTTGATTGATACAGAGCGCATCGGCCCAGAGCAGTATGGGATGGTCATGCTGTCGTAGCGTGCGAAGGGCGGTAAAAAGGTTCTCGGAAATGAAGATGAGTTTGTCGTTGCATCTTATTAAGCGGTTTGGGACAACCTCTGCATGTCCCCACGTGTAGGAAATGGTAACATAGCGGTTTTCAGCTTTGGCTATGGAATAAGGCTGAAGCTGAGCATTGATATCGTCCTCCCGGCGCCCAGGCAGCAAGCGCAGGAGACGAATGGTAGGCGGATCAGCAGGTAGTGGGGTGTAGAAGTTGTGATCATCATTTTTCTTGTTGAATACTTGGGTAAGTTTCGAGATGATTCGACGAGCCATGGTAATGCGAAAGACGGGGATGTGCTGCTCGGTTGACATGCTGATTTTAGGGGCTAGTTTGCAACACGTGTTGGGGCTGGAATGCGGATTTGCAGTCACGTCAAGTTCGCAAGAGGTAACGCCAGTACCGACCATTCACACATTTGCGATAACATGCCTGGACGTCAGTAGAATCAGTCCGTCATACTGTCGATACCACTCGGAATCGATAAAGAACAAGGCCACGCATCTAGTGATACATCGGACGATGGCCACATGACGTCAACAGCGCACGATCCCGAAACGGCACACCTCATTGCCTGCCCTACCTGCGGTCAACACGTCTATGGCTTTTCCATCGTCCGCAGCTCAGGCACTATGCAGTACATTTTGCCTTTGCTCGAAAAACTTACATCTGCTGCTCAAATAAGTCGCTCTTTGCTGCATCGGGAAGCGCCGGAGGGATGTCAGTCTGCACTAAAAGCCCCGGCGGTGGCCAAAGAGCGTGAACGGGTAGCGCCCGCATGACAAGCTATCGGGTCACTTAACCCATGCCTAGCGGTGTGAGAAATGGAAAAGAAAGCGATCAAAATAAAGCCCCGTGGGCGTCACTAGTCAGCCGCATGGGGGATCGTCATGGCTTTGTGCTTTAAAGCCCGTGTGTCTGGCACGTTGAGGCCTTTGCCTCGAATTTTATTTCCCTTTCGATTGCCCAAAACATGCGACCGGATAGACTCCTCCAAACTACAGTTAGTCTTCTAGCAACAATACACCTAGCGCTGGGCTCCACTAGCAGTGAGCAAGACCAATTCAAGCATGTAACATGGGATGACGACAATTCTGTGATTTCAACACATGCTCTAGACCAAGGCCACTACCAATCCCGCTTGACGCTCGCAAACGGCTATTTTGGTATCAATGTCGCATCCGCGGGACCCTTTTTCGAAGTCGACGAACCAGTCGATGGCGATGTCATAAGCGGATGGCCGCTTTTCAGTCGACGACAAGCTTTCTCTACTATAGCGGGCTTCTGGAACAGCCAGCCACGAACCGTTGGATCCAATTACCCATGGCTCTATCAATATGGCTGGGAAAGCTTTATTGCTGGTATCCCACATTGGAGCAGCCTTATCGTTGAAGCAAATGGCGAGTTCCTGAATGCATCTGTCAACCCCGATCATATCTCTGATTTCGTCTCAAGCCTGGATGTAAAGGCTGGCATTGCGAGTTGGCGGTACAACTGGAAACCCGGTGGCCGGGGTGATGGAACCATCGATGTCAACTACCAGCTTTTTGTTCACAAGCTCTACATCAACAAAGCGGTAGTCAGACTGCGACTTGCATCCACTCGGGACGATAATGTGACTGTATACGATGTTCTAGACGGGGATGGCGCTGTGCGCTCGGATTTTGTCCAGAAGAAATTTGAGAAAGACACACCGACTATCTGGTCCGCCGTAAACCCGGGAAATATCACAAATGTTACCGCATACGTATATTCGACCTTAGGTGCTAGCGACTGGGTCGACCTCAGTGCACGCAGCGAAGTAGCAGATGGTGTCTTTGGTAGTGGCAACGAGTCAACTATCGCGCAGTCTGTACCAGTCGAACTAACCGCATTTCGGCCAACTGAAGTGACTAAATTTATCGGAGTCGCTTCAACCGATGCCTTCCCCGATCCACAAAGTGTGGCTCGGGATGCTTCGATATCGGGCGCAAAAGAAGGTTACTACAAGCTTCTACAATCCCACATTAGAGAATGGGAGTCCATCTTGACGCCAGATGCTGTCGACGACTACCACCTACCGAACGGATCCCTCCCCAATGATCCAGATGTACAGCAACTACACATCCTGGCCCGTACAAATCCTTTCTATCTTCTTTCAAACATGGTTGGGCCAAACGCTGTGGCTGCAGCAGGAAATAATACCAAACTTGACATCTACAGCATCCCAGTTTGCGGCTTTGGCTCTGACTGCTATGGAGGTATGATTTTTTGGGATGCAACAGTTTGGATGGCCCCAGGAATCCAAGTGTCACATCCCCAGCATGCGCAAAATGTTATCAAATATCATGTGGAGCATTTCGAGCAGGCGCAGCGAAACGTCCAAACAGCCTTCACCTCGAGCAAGAACCAAACAGGTCGCTTCACTCCTGGAGGTGCAGTGTATCCTTGGACTAGTGCGAGGTTCGGAAACTGTACAGGGACCGGGGCCTGCTTCGACTACGAATACCATCTTAACGGTGACATGAGCCTAGCCTTCAACAACCATCTCATCATTACTGGTGACAGCGAATACTTTAATGACACCTTGCTGCCGATATCGAACTCGATTGCACACTTTTTTGGCCAAGTCCTGGATTTCAATGAAACTTCTGGAAATTGGGAGCTATGGAATGCGACTGATCCGGACGAGTATGCCAATCAAGTCAATAATGTGGGATTTACTACTGCCTTGATCCAGAAACATTTCCTCGAAACAAACGAATTCAACGCTTGGTTCTCGCGTAGTCAAAATGCTAGCTGGAACGAGAAAGCCGCAAAGATGCGACTCCCGGTCAACGACAACACTGGAATTATCGTTGAATATACCGGCATGAACGGTTCGGTAGCAGTTAAGCAAGCAGATGTGGTCCTCATAGATGATCTGTTACACTATCCAAATCCCTACAGCTTGACAAATCTGGACTTTTACGCAGCAAAACAATCCCTTGATGGTCCCGCAATGACATATTCCTCCTTTGCCGTCGTGGCCAACGAGGTCTCTCCATCTGGATGTTCGAGCTTTACATACCACGTCTACTCGTCTTCACCCTACCTTCGCGCACCGTGGTATCAGTATTCTGAACAGCTGATCGACAATGTGGAAGAGAATGGAGGAACACATCCTGCATTCCCATTCCTGACCGGTATGGGTGGAACGAATCGAGTCGCAATCTTTGGATACCTTGGCCTGGGACTGTACTACGACAGGTTGGACATTGATCCCTCTCTACCACCACAGATCCCATACCTGAACTACCGCACTTTCTACTGGATGGGCCACGGTATCAACGCCACCTCAAACTCAACGCATACAACATTAGAGCGCTTGCCACGAGATAAATACACGCTCCCTTCAGTAAACGCAACATATTTCGACAAGCCCATCCCTGTTACAGTCGGCACCCGCAGCGGCCGCAATGTCACATGGCACGAACTCGGCAAAGAACCACTCGTAGTACGCAACCGACCCATGGGCGAGGTCCTCACCGTAGGCGGAAACATCCTCCAATGCAAATCTCTCCTCCAACCCCCTCAACGCAACAAACCAGGTCAATTCCCCATCGCCGCGATCGACGGCGCCGCAAGTACAAAATGGCAACCTGAGTATGCAAACACCACCAGTTACCTCACCGTCGACCTTGGAGACTTAGCCTTCTACCCTATCAACGAGATCGTAATGGACTGGGCGAATCAGCCACCCGCCCATTTTGAAATTTACTTTTCAAATTCTTCGCTTCCGCCGTTTTCGGCGCAGCTGGCGGATGATGTGAGGAGAGTGATAGCTGGTAGTGTGGATATTAGTGCGCCATGGGATCCCGTTACGGCGTACGAAATCAAGCCGTATGTTGGTAATCAGACGAATCTTACGCTAGCGGAGAGTGTGTGGAGTGGGAGGTATGCGCATTTGGGCGTCAGGGGCAATCAGTTCAAGGAAGATACGACGGATGGGCCGACAGTTGCGGAGTGGAGTTTAGTTCGTGAGAAGTTTTGAGGCAGTATGGAGATGGGTTAGTACATAGATATTTTTCGGGTAGATCTGCGTAGAACGTTTAAGATCGTTTTGTATGATAAGGTGAAGAGACGGCCTGGCGTTGGATTTAGAAATATGAGTTTCTTTGTTATTAGTATTTGGTATTCAAGAAACGTAGATTACCTATTCACTTCATCTCGTGATAACAAAGCTAGTGCAAAACCCAGCCCCAACAGTCTCTATCTTACCAGAAACCTCAATCTCGCTCCAAAAGCCGCTAACCATGTCATTTTTAATCTCTTGCTTTACATTCGCCAAGTTACCACAGTTCCCGTGTTTGCCCCAACCCCAAGATATCAACCCACCATCTCTTGTTACCGCAAGCACATGATCCGAGCCCACAGCAATCTTATTTAGAAGCGGCAAATTTTGTGGTAGCAATTTCCACATATTCTCTTTCCCCCATGCGGTGAGCGACCCGTCATTGAATAAGACAAAGATTGCATGCCATGTAGCACCGATATCTTTCCAATCCTTGATGTGTTCCGGCATGTTTGAAATGATATTGAACTTGTCTTTGCCCAGTAGTATGTGTTCTCCAGAAGATGGCTCTCCAACAAGGTATGTGAAATCCTTGCCGCAGACCACTTTGGTTGGCTTGAACGGTATGTCGTTAATCTTCGTCGGAGTCGTAACTTTGCCAGGAAGACTATCACCAAGTTGACCTAGGCGAGCTTTTCCCCAGCCATAGACTGAGCCATCGTCGAGAACAGCTACATAGTGCCAAACTCCTGCAGCAAAGTCGATAATTCTACCAGGAAGTGGCGTAGCGATACGGGTCGATGTCTCAGGGACGGCCTGCTCTTCACGACCGAGTTCTCCCCATTGACCAGTACCCTCAGTGTAGATGTAGCTCTCCCCAGAGTCGCTTCTCGTGACATATGCAGAGGATTCGCAAGTAGCCGCAATCGACGATGCATTTTCATAAAGTTTCTGGAAGACTTGGATTTGAGACTCATTTCCCAAAGAGCCTAATTGACCCTTGCGATTGTCGCCGACTCCATGAATGACTCCATCTTTGCATAAGATCAAAGTATGGTTGTCACCTCCTTGTATTGCAGAAATATCTGCGAGAGGCAGCGAACTGGAAACTTTGGTCGGCACGTCAACAATTTCCGCAGCAGGTAGCCCGAGTTGCCCCTCCCCATTGCTGCCAAAGGCATACATTTGGTAAGACATATTGTAAGACTGCGAGGTAGGATGCCAGGTCAGCTATTGTATTATCAATCGAATATGAAAATTGCCAACTTCATTGCCCCAGCAATATCAGCCCCCATCAGATGCTGTATCTGGAACCTCTCAAGTCACGCACCGTGGCAAGGAAAGTCTTGAGTCGAATGCGCACAAGGCTTCAATGGCACGCTAGCCACTGAGGACGCTAGTCGCTTACAGGGATCGGGGCGCGCACGGACGCCCACTGAATATTCGCTGCCGGCGTAGACGAACTTCAAACTCCACGACGACCGCAAAACCGACGACGCCCACCCAATACTAACCGCACGCACATCCCACAGTCGCCCAACATGGCCTCCCAGAGTGTGCAATGCTTCGGCAAGAAGAAGACTGCGACTGGTACGACAATGCTCCCCCACGCCACGGAGCGTGTTTTCCTTGAAAGAAGTCGCATAATGGCTAATATGATCACGAACAGCTGTCGCCCACTGCAAGGTACATACGCACTGCCTACCGATCGAATGCGCAAAAAACACGAACAATATACTTACGATGAATACATAGGCCGGAAAGGGTCTCGTCAAGGTTAACGGAAAGCCTCTTTCCCTCATCCAGCCCGAGGTTCTTCGATTCAAGGTCTACGAGCCCATCCTGATCCTCGGTGTTGACAAGTTCGGTACGCACATACACCTATGCACATACGCGTGCTGCAAAGAAGCATTTAGACGCGGAAGATACACGAGGAACAATGGAAGCTAACTGTTGCTGGTAGCCGATGTCGACATCCGCGTCCGCGTCTCTGGTGGTGGTCACACCTCGCAAGTCTACGCCATCCGCCAAGCCATTGCCAAATCCATCATCGCCTACTACCAAAAGTACGTCGACGAGCACTCCAAGAACCAGCTCAAGCAGGCCCTCATTCAGTACGACCGCACACTGCTCGTTGCCGACAACAGGCGGTGCGAGCCCAAGAAGTTCGGTGGTCCAGGTGCTCGCGCCAGGTACCAGAAGTCTTACCGTTAAGCGGTTTTTTTCTTCTGGCTTACTGGCGCGAGGAGGAGGAGAAAGAGAGGACAAGGGGTGTATGGGAGCGAGCATGGAGCGGTGTTCATCCTGGGCTTTTTCATGGGGTCTTCTACTGTCTGCTATCTACTCCTCAAGGACGAGGTTACGTGACATGGCGCGCAACGGCTGCCTGATACGATCCCGCGGCTTGTGACGATAAAAATGAATACATTGGTTGCAAGAACACGGAAAGCAAAGAAAAGCCCATGGAGTGAGGAGTACCACGACACATACACATACACATATGCCGTGAAGCAGTAGGAACAAGTGAATGCCAACACCCAAATCAATCGATCAGGAATCTGGTAAATCTACAGTGAACTAAAATGCATGCGACACACGGGTGTAATGTTTCCATCTCCAACACCGACGCTTTCCATGCAAGAAACCCCAACACACTACCAATGTGACATTCCCTTTTCTAGTCCTGTTTTCGCCCCGATTCAGAATGACTGTAGACTATTATTCGTATACCCGTAGATGTAGAGAGGCGGAGGTTTCTAGCCGTCGCTGCCACTGCTCCTAAACGCAGCACATAACGCAGCGTACTGGTGGGTCAGGTCGAGGACGTGCTGGGGCAGTGAGGTTCCCTGGACGATGCTGCGGATCTTAACGGCGCCTTCCTCTTCGATGAGCTTACGGATGGTGTAGAGGAGAGCTGGCGAAAACTGTCATACTGGTTAGTGACTAGAATCTTGAGGGCTTAGAGATAAAAAAAACATACCTCAGAGTACCAGCGGTACTGCCAGGTGATGAGACGAATCAGTGCTGCCGTGACATCTCTGACTTGTTTCCTTTCTTCACCCAGCTTGAGTACACCCTTCATTGCCTTGGGAGAGAACTTGATTTGCAGACAGTTCTCGTATGCTTCTACAGCTTCCTCAGTGTGATGCAATCTCTCCGCCAATTCACCCAGGATTTCCCACTCTTCGCTACTCTTCTTGTACAACAACTGCTGCTGGCGGTACTGCGCCATTTCTGTACGCCATATTGTGTATACGCGTAAGTCTTCGTATAGGACCATGAAGAGGTTGTCAAGCCAGCGTTCACACAAACGCTTGTTCTGGAAGTGTGTGTAGTTTGGTTGGGCAGGGTTGCCATTCTGGTTGTCGTGTAGGTGAGGGTCTTCACTGCCAGCCTTTACAACTTCAGAGGCAACCGTATGGCCGGGCTTTTCCAGTTCAGTTTCTGTACCAGCAGCTGAGCCCTCACCGTTCTGGGCATTGCTTGCATCTGTGGACGGACGTTCCTGGACTTCGCCATGCTCGCTACCGTTGGCTTGTTGGGCCTGTGAATTAGGAGATGGAGCCCGGAGAGCTGTCGTACTTGCACTGCGAGAGTGCGGTTGTTGGACAGTCTTCTCGTGGCGATATTCCTCTTCCATTACAAAAACTTGACTTCTTATCTTCAGGAGTTGATCCCAGCCAATCTTCTTTGTGATTTCTGTGAGCAGGATGTATGCTTTCAGGAAAGTCCCCTTGAATCCGGCTGCGTGTAGTTTTCTCAGGGTTGGATGTACGAGCTCCATGTCGTCGACATTGGAATCTTCTATCTCGTCGCACATTGCCTCGGGCATGATGGGCAGAAAGACCCTCTGGGGCTCTGGCATCCGCGGGGCATCCTTGTCCTGATATGTGAACATTGGACATGAGTTAAGTGTCAGCAGCGCAAGATCCCACTGCTCGAGGCTGACATATATCTCCGCCAAGCGCGCCCATGTGCCAAACTCGCTAGGCGCGGAGACGACACTCCTCTTTGCGATTTCCAGTGCGAGATCACCACGGCCCTTCTTGTTACAGAACTCTGCTTGGCAGTCCAGCAATGAGTAGTCCATGGGCAACTCTTGAATAGCACCGTGCAACAATTGTACAGCTTTGACCTCCTCATCTGCTTCGATGTAGACGCGGGCGAGGAGCGATGAGATCTCTGGATCACGAGTGCGCAGTTTTTCGAAGAGATTGATGCCCGAGGTGTATCTACCAGTCGTGTGAATGTAGTTGAGAAGGCCTGTCGTCAAGTGATTTGAGACGAGATTGGGGACTTGAATCTCAGGATCAGATCCAAGTTGCCAGCCTTGATAGTATTAGCCAAATCTCTCCCATGTCCAGTGTGCGACCCACCATTGAAGAAGAGACGCTCTGCAGCATCCAGAAATCTGTGCTCGCTCTCTGTACTTGTGATTGGGTTGAACCTCCTCACACCAACAATCTTCTTGATAGTATCGCCCGAACCATCGTCGGCGTACGAGTATGCGCGCAAGACGCTACAGAGATAGGTTTCTAGCCAAAGTTCATCAGTGGCTACTCGTTTGTCGCCACGCTCGTCAATGCAGTAGCTTTCGACTGTTCCTGGGATATAGACTTGAACGCGCATATCAAGCCGCGAAAAGGCATTGTAGCAGCTGCCTTGGTCAGCCAATGACTGCGCCAGGACTTGGAGCCAGCCTACCAATACAAGCCTGAGACTACTTTATTTTGCTTGTCATGCGCAGAATATGTAAGCGTGTTGATGTAAGCCGCTAGGCTAGCGGACGAGGAAGCGTCTATGCCGGTGACATGATGGTAGACACCAATCTAATCACATGTCAAAGGCCATGGCTCGTAAGTATACACGGTCGAAGGTGCTACGGACCTGTTTTGTCGCAGACTTGATAGGCTGTTTTATCAGGTGGACCAAGTCTGGCGGGCCCAGTTCTCGGAGCGTCTGTAGGGATTCCGAGCGCGCTTCGATGGCCGAGTGTAGCTCGTCTTCGTAGATTCTGGGGGATTGTCAGACAGGCCACATAGACACAGGTTCTCTGCGACAGAAAAAGTCGTATGCGAATGGGGTTGGCGCATGCAGAAGCAGAAGCAGAGGCAGAGGCAGCAATGTGTCGGGACAACTAGTAGTCGAAGCGGCATGGGTGGCATACTCAGGAACAGCTGGCGATGTCACCATGGCTCAATTGGCGCCGCACAGAGCGGGGTGGCAGGGGAGCGGTGATGGGAGGAGAATGGCGGGGTGGATGCCAGGCGAGGGGCTTCGTTCGTATGCGCTTGGGGCTCCCGGGCGTTGCGTGTCAAGAATTCCGTGTCCTTGGTCGGCGGCATCAAGGCAGGCACGGAAGCTGCATCGCGGAGGTGCCCCGTTGCCAAGACCCATCATCCCTGCCACCCATCATTCACAGTCGCGTCGCGTCACGTCACCTAAACGCTGCGAGACTGCACAAAGTCGAATTTGGCCTCTGTCACACGGCCCATAGATTATATACCCAGCAGCAGTGCTCTCCATGGTCGCCTGCTGCTTGCTGTCCCCATTGCAGATGCCGTACAGAGTTTCTGTGTCGCCTTGAGGCTCTCCCCGTCATTGTCCAACCAACCACAGCACACATCATGGTAAGTCGGATACCTATGTACTCAGGCCTCTACAGCCACGGCGCCCGCTACGCTCCTTCATCCCCTCTGACATGGTGCAGTCGAAAGCTTCAGTATGGCATCCCTACAATGTCGAAATTCCCGAAGAAACCGCCGAAGAGGAAGTCGACGACACCCAGGAGATCCAGATCGAAGAAGCCTTGAAACTCTACCAGACTGCCTTGAAGCTCCATTCTGAAGGCCCCGCATCTTTTGAAAAGACCGCTGCAGCATATAAGGCTCTATTCGATTCTGATATCTTCAAATACGCCGAATCGCTATCGGAATTCCAACGGCACGAAGTCTTTGGCGAAGACCTGGTCTTTGACACCATATTGGAGGATGACTATGACGCAGGTCCCGTCCAGTCGACTGGCGCCGCTGACAGCGCCCCGAATACCCTCCAACAGATCCTCCATTTATCGTACAAGAATCATGGCCAGTTCTTGCTGGAGTCCATGCAGCATTGGGTTACAACGAATGGCCCAACACCTCAGGTGGAAGCTTGGAGCAAAATCCGCGACGCCCTCAACTACTTTGCTGAAGCGCTGGACAAGGAGGATACTGATCTCGACCTGTGGCTGCGAGCTGCTTCGGTCGCCGCCATGCTGGGTAGTAAGCGCCTCACACGCTATTGTCTAGAAGCAGTACTTGATGGAAATGACGAACAGTGGGAGAGTCTATTGCGACTGCCAGGATTGGAAGAAGAATTTGCTGGTCAACAGCTGCGTGAACTTGTTGAGCGACTGGAAGATAACGTTTCTCTCCAACAGGCGCCCTTGTCACTGATGAAGCGGAAGAAACTATCAGAGATGCTGAGGAAGAGGCTAAATCCATTTCAGTTTGCACCTCTTCCTGCTGACGTTGCCCTTGCTGAAAATCTTCACAATATCAAGGCTGCGCCAGAGACTGTGACACTGAGCCCGACAAAGTGGGATTGGGCAAGCGTAGGCGAGATCATCCTCCGGCAGTTTCAGGCAGAGCAACAGGGAATGGCATCCAATGTTCCTTCAGGGTCAAACATAGTGTTCAGCATTCCCCCTGATAGCGGCACCCCAGATCGAATCGAGTCTGCACCCGAATTGGAACCTATCGAGCTCGCACAGGATACCATACCGGCAGCACCGGAGTCTACACCACCATCGAAGATTGAAGGGCCTGCTGCAGCCGAAAAGGATGGTGATGATACCATCATGGAAGAGCAAACTACCGAGGCTGATGTCAAGAGTGAGGAGGCCACATCAACTGTACCACCGGAAGTCGCACCAGCTCCGTCCCGCAAACGGTCTACGGACTCTGCTGGACTACCAGAAACTGCCGAAGGAGGTCGATCACGCAGTAAGCGAATTCGCGGACGAGACACAATCACCGAACCAGCCCCTGGAAGTGCTGCACAAGAAGCTAACAAACAGCTTGATGCTCAGTTGGAGCCCTACACGCATGCAGATCAATGTCTGTATGAGATCGTCAAGGACATATACTCACGCCTTGGTGTCGAGGGCATAAAGGATCCTGCTGAATTGCGTAGACTCGTCAACCCGCTTCCGGAAGCGTCTGCTCCCAGTATTACAGATCCTATTGACAAGGCAGCTTGCGATGTTTTCACTGCGCTTCGAAGTGGGCACATGAAGACTGCACAGATAATCTTGAGTTCTGATTCTTTCGATCTGCTAGGAGTAACGAGAGAACACGGATTGAACGCATTCTTAGGCTTCTCTAAATCGAGTTCAAGTCAAGCCTGCACCAAGCCAGTCCTGGGTAGCGAGGGGTTGAATTCATTCGCGCGAAGTGTAAACAACAATTGGTTCACAACCCAGGAGGTTGCATTTGCTTGGATTGAGAGCTTGTTTTCTCCCGGGTTCTGTCTACCCTCTGGATCCCGTGCCACAGGTCAATCAAGCTATCTATACTTCAGATGGGCAGATGATTTGAAGAGGAACATTGTACAAATCATTGTTCACATCGATGAGTTCATCTACGAACGTATGCTTGAGCGTGTCGAACAGCTCAACCGCAAGATGCTGGATGCTAGCCACCAATCTCGAAAGTACCAGCTGTCTAACTTTGATATCGCACAGATTGAAATAGTGGAGGCCTTGTTTGAGCTGCACTTGGACATCTATTCGCTTATCAAGCACCCACACAGTACGATAGACATTAATACGCGAACTCTCCAGAGCGACAGGTTACAGCGATGGTCCCACCTCGCACGAGACGTTATACAGTTACGATCTGACTGTCTACCAAGCCAGGATTTGGATGATCTGGCTCTCCGTCATATTTGGGCTACAGTGTCACAAATGAGCGTTAGCGATGAGGTAGCACCAGAGCATGTCTTGTCTGCTATGGCCCAGCTGAAGACCATGTTTGAGCGTTTGGGCGACCGTACGATTCAGTTGCAGAACAATGCTGTAATGCCCGAGCTATCAACTGCTGCGATTGATCGAGAACTCGTACGCATCAGCATGAAGGACTTCTTCCTTAAGGTTTTTGACCAAGACGAGCAGGATCCAGTGACAGTAATAGAAAGTCTGGAACCAATCTTGGAATTCGAAAACACAAGGGAATCAAACATGCCGGTTGAGTCAGCTGGCTCTGATGAAGGCGCACCTGATGCACGTAGCTCGCCCACTGGAAGTATCGAAGGCTCATCCACAGATAAACAGCTTGGCCATGCGTCTCCAATTCTAGAGATGCGCAAGTTTCTCGATTCTGCAAACGTAAACGTACGACTGTCTCTCTGGAACAGGTTGCGTGTAGCCTATGAAGCCATCGACTATCCTTCCAAAGTTATATCGTGCTTCTTACGAAGTATCGAAGCCCTTGTGGATGATCTCGGATCTTCGGCTTTCCAGGAGTTGCCAACGCTTGATCGCCAACACAAGTTGTTGACCCGATACCGAGTCATTGACGACATGGTTGTTAAGATCCTTCAGATAATACGCGATGATGGGACGCCGCTCGACTGTATTTACTACGAGCATGTGCAATCTTCCATGTCAGCAATTGCTAAACTGTTGCACATCATGTCGGCTGCAGACATGCTCAGAGACTACATCCGCATCAACCATATCCCTATGCCTCGAGTCGAATCCCATCCGAGCCAGGCATTTGTCAATATGATGGCACGACTTGGCGACATACATCTACGGCTCTGGATGTTACAGTACCATTTGCTCAAGGATGGCTTATCCCAAGATCACGAAAGCTTCCCTACTCCTTCCGAGGATCTATTCGAATACATTCGTCATGTGCACCATGCTACTGGTGTGCGTGGCTTCTGCCATCTGTCAAACCGTCAGTTTTTGAGGCTTGCAAAAGATGAGTTACTTCGCATTGACGATGTTGTTGATGGTCACAGTTATGCCACCGAGCTCTGCCAGGTTCTTCACGATCTTTATGGTCTGAAGCTATTTATCGAGCCTTTGGAGTGCCAGGATTTCCAGACCACACCAGATGCCCTCGACAAAAAGACTGCCTTCAGCATCTTGTCATTCGCCATGTCACAAGTTGCAAAGGTTGATTTGAAAGATTTGCCCAAGACAGAACTCAAAGGAACCATCGAAAAGATACATACCGCGTTAGGTAGGCCCAAACAGAACGATGATATCACTTTCAACCGCAAGGTAATTTCATCGTACTTCAAGTCACCTGTCAACCCTGTCGAGTTGTTCGGATGCTTGAAAGGCGTTGGATCGCTTGCAACCAAGCATGTCCCTGCCGAAGATGCCGTGGCTGCATCCAAAGGTTGGTATTACATGATGGGCAATATTGCACTCAGCAAGTTCAAGTCACAAAAGCGCATGACTCAAGGACCTACAGAGGACTTGAACTATGCTCAAGCGTTCTTTGTGCAGGACCTAGAGCACTCCATTGAGCGTTGGGAGACGTGGTATCGCCTTGCGCAAGCCAATGACACCCAGCTTGAGGAGGCGGTCTCATGGAACGCGGATAAAATGAACAGCAACAGCGCTGATGTTGTCAATTTCCAACGGGCTGCAATCAACTGCTACATCTTGGCTGTAGCCTGTGCTGTGCGCGACCCTAATGTAGGACCAAATACCCAGGCCAAGATTGCGCAGATGTACACAGAGTTTGGCAACCGCATATATGCATCTTCCAGGGAGCCTTTTAGAATGGAGGCGTTCCAGATTCGAGAGACTGAGAAGCGGTTCTGTAATCTCCAGACAAATGCAACTCTATACAAAGAGGTCGCATTTGCTCCATTGCAGACTTACACAGCCTGGAAATTTGCAAGCACACTTTACAAACGAGCAATCAAAGGCAACCCGAACAAATGGTGGAATCACTACATGCTTGGAAAGTGCGGATGGAAGATGTGGTCTACCAACGACAGCGCCATGCGGTATGCCATGTCCATTGGCGCACCTGTTGCTCCACAGAATGGCCCAAGCTGGGAGTCTGTCATTGAGGCCTTCACTAGTGCGATCGAGACACTACCTGGAAAGAAAGGACGCAGCGGCGAGCCAGTTCTTGAGCCTCACTACAAACTAGTATCCGTCACCCATAAACTTTTCCAGCGTGGTGCCATCGACTACGAAAAGGGAGTGGAGATTCTCTCAAACACATCGTATGCCCAGAACAGCAAGGCTCCAGAAAGCGAAAACGACTGGCAGAGATACATTCTTGCCATCTTGAAGTCCTTGCGTGCAGCAGACAAGTCAAGCTGGCACCATCGTGTCATATCACGCGTTGCTCACACAATCTACGATAACGAGAAGAGCCCATCTGTGGCTCAAGATGCTAAGCATGAACTTATGCAGCAGATGTTTACTAAAACCATGGCTGTTCAGGTCTGGAAGCCCGAGAACGAGCGACCTGGCAGGCACTTTGTATACACTACTCGCTACACCAAATTTTTCATCGAACTTCTGGACTTGACTGAGGATAAGGCCAATTTCGAAGCGCTTGCGAAACGCGTAAGACGGAAACAGACGGACTTTTTTGAACATCAGAAACTGTGGCAAGATCTATGCACGCGTTACCTCAAGTTGCTACGAAGAATTGGCAGTATACCTGAAGGCCAAGAAGATTCAGCTTTCAAATCCGTCAATCATGATGAATTCAACACGCTTGCTCTTCGTTTGGAGGCGTGGTGTCAAAACTCAACTACGCAACACCCTGTACTGGATGTTCTCCGCGACGCGATCGAACTCAAACGCCTCAACAACGGCATGATGAAGCCTCTTCTCATTGACGACCTCATTGGAGATACTTATGCGATGTTGTATACATCGATTGGTCCCACTTTGTCACCCCTCCCATCGGAGCAAGAACAACAGCAGCAGCAACAACAACAACAACAACAACAACAACAACAAGCTCTGCTTGCTCAGCCTCGACCAGCACCTTTTGGAGGCTCTGTAACATCTACAGGCGCTGTACCCATCTCATCGTTGATGCAAGTTCAGATTGATGGCTCAGCAGAAGGAAGCAACGGATCACCTTTCAGCATGTACCATTCCGGTCAAATGCCCTCTCAACACACCAACCAGATGCCTCAGATGGCGGCACAACCTGAACAACCAGTAAAGCCCAGAGTCAAGGCAGTCGGTCGTAGGGAAATCGCAAGAAGGGCTGAAGCATGTGTCCAGAAGACTGCTGCTGCCTCCGCTCAATCTACCTCGATTCCAATTCGATCACCTCCCCCTGCCAATGAGGCGCTCTCTGCTGTCACCGATCAAGCAGCAGCATCACCAGACAAGACCGCCGAGCCCACTGCTGAACCGAACACATCCACTGAAAACCTTCAACCCTCTTTCGACCAAAGCGAAACCGCCACCGCCGCTCCAAGCGTAAACAACGACGAACCCGCCCCCAGCGCTCCCGTCTCCGTCCATGATGACGCCGACGACGAAAGCGAGCTTAGCGAACTCGATGAAGACGAAGTCGAGGAAATCCACCAAGAAGTTCAAAACGACACTTTACGTCGCTCTGCCTCCATTGCTGCTTTGAACAAGCCTCTTTTCCCCCGCTTAGCTGCAGCAGCAGCAAAGATGGCTCCTGTGGATAAACGCATCGAGTCTGAACGCGGAGATGATGACCCGGATGATGATGAGACAATGGATAGTGATACTATTCATGTCACTGCTCCGAGGCCGGCGAGGGCGAGGGATGAGGATCGGATGGATGTGGATTAGAGGTAAACAGTTTTCTTGGTAGTCTGGATTGCGGCGATGAGGGCTTGTTGTAGCTTTCTTGGATCGTTTTCTTATTAATGTATCACTGTACTATTACCTGTCGGATAGTAGTGCACGTCCGTACCTGTTATTCTTTCTTTCAAACTGTGGACGTACGGAGGGAGGACATGTATTGGTATCACTTGGATTTCTTTTTCCTGTTCCCTATGCTGTGTTCTAGATACCCGGTTTTATAGGGCTCGTACGCATACGCAATACGTAAACGGCTTTTTGGAGATCTCACTGTGCTGATTTGTGAACTTGTGTGAAGTTGATCTGGTGTACTAGTGAAATTCATTGTCTTCCATGATAGAAAATTTACAAAGAATTAATTGATTCAATACGGCTACACAACCTGGGAGGCAGTATCATAAGGAAGGGCGATATGAGTATACTTAGATTGCCATTGTGTCTTCTGATGGGTACTTCAGTCGAATATGAATTTCGATAATGATCTATTCGTGATCCAAGAACGAACTAAATGAAAAACATTGTGAAGGATAGGCTAGCAAAAGAACGGATTGATTTACTGAAAAAAAGATCACATATCAAAGCCAGTCAACTAGTGTGTATTCCTTATGTCGGCTTAAAAGCAGGCAATGGTGGTTGCGTACCTACCCTGCCGATATGCACCAACCACGAGCAAAAGTAAGAAGCTGCACTATTTCATACCAAAAAAAGTGCAAAAAAGGAAGTCGCAAATTACTTGGCGGTACTGGGAACTGTAGACACGTTAGAAATGTCTCAGGACCACCAATTTGTGAGGTTGAACGTACTCGAACCCAGGCTGGCGCGGATCTGGATCGGGACAACTGAGTGTCCGCCAGCCACAACGCGACGTCATACCACTAGACCATACCACCGTGGTATTTCTTTGATGACGAAAAATGCAGTTGGTAAATACTAGTAGTTGGCAGCATCATATGAAAAGCCATCTTCGAGTTATAACAAATTTCTTACACCTGAATCGCTGGGAGTGTAAAGGAATTTTGAGCGTGTGTGCGGGGTCGTGGGGTCTGTGCCAATCGTCATAGGTGGGGCAGCGTTTTTGCTGGTGTTCGGTATATTCTTCCTTTACCCAATCGGTCGACACACAGCACGTAACTCAACATGCCCGCAGGTAGGTCTTAGATCCTTTAACATCTATGGTGCTTTTCTAAATACAGTCCTCAACATGCATCCAGTTGACGTTGTTGCGAAGGCTGGCAAGCGCACATGTTTGCTCAAATTTTCTATACCTAGATAAAATATGCTTGAACACCATGCTGCACTTGCCCACGCGACTTGCAAAACACTTGACAATGCTAATTTCCGATGACTAGACTTCTCGTCACCACGACAATCACGAGGCAAGCAACGCAAATCATACCGCGTTGAGGACGAATACTCGTTTCTTGACGAAGAAGACGGGTCTGCAGCATCTGGTAACCAATCGCCAGCCTTCCAGGACGATGATGAAGACGAAGACGATTTCATGCCCGATGCCCAGGAAGAAGGAGCCGAAGACGACTTTGAAGATGAAGAGGAGGAGAATGATGAAAACGAAGACGTAGAAGAAGACGAGGAAGAATCAGATGATAGCCTTGTAACCCCCAAACGCGGCGCTCGCGGGCCAAAAGCTACTCCCGTCAAGCAGCCCACCACGCCGCTTGTCCAGCGCAACAAGCCATCTACAGAGCATGTACCCTCGCCTATTACATTTGCTAAAGGCAGTGGTATTAAAGTGCGCAATGTAGATGCCGAGAACAAGCTGCGAACACGCGGCGTACCTGATTTCGACAAGATTGGAGGCCATGAGCCGCGGTTGAAAAACTTGTTCGGGCCGGATGGCCAGCATCTTAGACCTGTTTTGGCGTCTCGCGACTACTGGAGTTCTCAGGAGACGTTTCCGATCAAAAAGCCTGGGCGAGTTGACCCTGGCCAGACTGAGTTGGGGGGCTTGAGAAGAAGCTTCTTTGAAAAGGAGGGTACTAGGGAGAAAGAGAGTGAGGTGCTGAAACAATGGTATAGGCATACGGGAAAGATGGTATTTGAAGCCTCACAGGCTACCAAGGAATTATCTAAGGATGAAACTAAGGTGTACATGCGGAATGATGGACCAGAGAGTTTGAATGTACTCACTGGGCCTGTTGATAGTCCCCAGGTTACCGCTCTCGAAAAAGGCACTTATATGCATGTTGGACAGTCTTTCCCAGACAAGGACAGCAGAAGGGGATGGCTATTCAATTTTGGAGCCAGGATACAAGATGCTCAGTGGGCCACCAAGGAGGACAGTCGAACACAGTATGTTGCTGTCGCAGTTGAGCAGCGCCCCATGGATGGAAACCGACCCAAACCAATGGAAATACCAAAGGCGCCTGCTTTCAGTGCTACGGTGCCATTTCCAGCCTCCATTCAGATCTGGGCGTTTGAAGCTACTGAAGAAGGAGAACTGGATAACTCAAAAGAACCTAGACTTGAACTTGTCGTTTGCGCCAACTGGGGTGCCCCTAAACAACTGCGGTGGTGTCCAGTCGCTGCTGCAGACACAAACGCATACTCTGATACTGAGACGGAAACTCATATCGGCATGCTCGCAGTAATCTGGTCAGACGGACGAGTTCGTATCCTCAACCTTTGTGTCCCAAAGCGTCCAGACGGACAATGTCAACCTACATACCTCCGCTTCTCGCACACAGCCTTCGAAGTCTCAATCCCCCAAACCGTCCCCTCCTGTCTCCAATGGCTCTCAGGAACCACTCTCGCTGTCGCCACAGCTGCTGGCACCGTAGCCATCTGGACCCTAACCCGCCCTGGCACCCTCTCCCCAACCACCAACCCGCGCCCCTGGTTCTACCACCAACTAGCCGACACTTTCATCCTAACCATCTCCTCCGCCTGGCCCTCAAACCCGCACTATCTCTCCATCAGCACCGCCGACGGCTTCGCCCGCCTCTTCGATCTGCGCAGCCCCACCGCTGACACCACAGCCTCCATCCGCGGCCGCACGTTATGCCTCACGCAAGCCTGGCACGAGCACACGCAGTCCTTCGTCATGCCCGACGAACACTACATCCTACGGCACACGCCACTCCGCCGTTACTACCACAACTTGTACAGCATGCGACTGGACAATAGCATCACGCGCGTGGCTACGAGTCCCGTGCACCCGGGCGTCCTGGTCGGCGGCACGGACGGCGACGTACAGACGAGTAACCCCGTGATGCGCATTGCGAATTACAAGGTTGTGCCGTGGCAGCAGAAATGGTTTGTGCATGAGTGGAGGAGCGAAGTAGGGAAGTTGACGGTTAAACCCGTCACTATAACTAGCGCTCACGGAGAAGAAAGATCTGGAGAAGGAGAAGAAAAAGAAGAAGATAGTAATGCCAGTGTGGCGAAGGTACCAGAGGACATTCTCGCACAACCTCTTGTACGCGTGTCGGAGGGTTACAAGGCGGTGCAGCAGGGTATCGCAAGTAGTGCTGTGTCGAAGAGGAAAGGGAACCCGGAGATTGGGCGGTCGATTAGTATTTTCGAAGAGAAGTCCGCGGTTACGGCTCTGGCTTGGAATCCGAGTTTGAAGTATGGGACGTGGGCGGTTGCGGGGATGGGGTCGGGGCTGTTGAGGGTGGAGGATGTGGGGGTTGTGGAGAAGAAGAAGTAGATTTGTTGTGGGAGTTGAAGAGGGGTGGATTCTTTTTTTTTGGGGGGGGGGGGGGGGGGGATGAGAAGGAAAGAAGATGGAGAGTTATTTTCCGTGAAATTACATGTTCTTTTTACTAGTTAAAATAAATACATCAGCGATTACGTGACATAAGATATCTTCAATCTTGACAGTAAAGAAGAATTACCAAATTGGTCATATTACACAATCTTACCTCACCGGCCTCATCTTGCACAAAAGCGGTGACTTCTCCCACAAAATATATGTCGCCTGATCGATCCAGTTCTTGCTCTCATCGCAAAGCTCGATGTCAAAGTGATAGTAAGTTTTTGCAGCAAGGAGCCGGATCTCATGGTATGCCATACTAAAGTCACGCACAAGTTAGCATAGTCTCCTTTTCCCTGGAAAAACAAAACATGGTATATATAGCCAAAGTGGGGAAAAAAGGGCTTACTTCTTCCCAACACAATCCCTCGACCCAATCGAAAAAGGCTGAAGGCACGCCTTCTCATCGCTGTCAAACTCCGGGTCACCCAGCCACCGTTGGGGCAGAAACTCCGTCGGGCGCTTGAAGTTGCACTCGCTCATGTACATGGCATGTTGTGGAATGCCCACAGTGGTATGAGGAGGCACAAATTTGCCACAGATGGTGGTTCCGTCTGCGGGTGTGCGACGAGGTAACGTGAGAGGAACTGGTGGGTAAATACGAAAAGCTTCTTTGATGCAAGCAGCGAAGTAAGGTAGAGCAGCGAGGCGTTCCATGGTCATGTCGTCTGTGCTCTCAAATTCGTTGCGTATCTCCTGAGACAATTTTGCCATGCATTCAGGGTTGCGGAGGAGCAGGTATGTCAGGCCTGATAAGAGGGTTGCCGTAGTTTCCGTGCCTGCAATCATGAAGACGGACGCGTTTGAGTCCATTTCTGGTCGTGTTAGACCCTTGCCTTCCTTCTGGCTCAGTACCAGGTCCCAGAGATCAACACCTTGGCTATCACGGCCTTTTTCGAGGCGTTTTGTGACACGTGTGGTGGAGTGGTTGAAATGGTCCATGCGTTTCTTGGAGATGGAAGCTGGTGCGAATATTGTGAATAGTTTCCATAGCAATGGGTAGAACCGCACTAGGGTCAGGATACTTGAGACCTTGAGGGCTCCAAAAATGTTACTGACCCACGGATCGTATTCGGCGTTGTCGAGCATATGGAGGGGCTCGCCAAACGTCAAATCGCCCATAACATCGAAGGTGGTAAAGTTGAAGAGCCGGACGAGATCGAATTTTGTTTCTGGATTTTCTTGTACGCCTTTTTTCAGCACGCTTACAAGTTGGTTAATGTACCTGAGGAAGAGAGGTTCCTGCTGTTTTAGAGCGCGATCCGAGAAGGCTGAAGTAAAGATCTTTCTTTGGCGAGTATGAACGTCATCTGGTGAATTAAGGAGATTGAATGCCCCATTGAGACTCTCTGGGTATCGTATCGGGTCTTTGTGAGGCAAAGAGCCTGCTGTTCCTTTTGTGCCATGGCCGTGGATCTGTAAGGCCGTTAGCCAACGCCGCATAGATAGTAGACCAAGAATTTACTCACATCTTTCCACGCACCAGGATCAATGAAACTTAGTTCATTATGAGCAATTCGAACTATCGGCCCGTATTTACGGTGCATATCTTGATACATCTTGTCGCGAGCGCCGGTTGCAACGGCAATATGGACTGGAATGCGTGTTGCGACCAACAGTTTGGGGCCCGGGAATTTACGGAGGGGATGGAAATAAATTCGATATACAGCTACTACAACAAAGCGAAAGACAACCTGTCATCAGTTAGTTTGGCAGCCTCGAAACGACATTGAGCAAGCTGCCATAGTTGAGGACATGCTGACCAGAGCTATCAAAGCGCCAAAGAGGCTCAGGAGGGAGGCCATTTTGAAGGAGCTTGGTGAGGTTGGCAGAGGCGTCGTATTGCGGCAAAGGGAGAGAAGAGGCAGCAGCCCGCTATGTAGGACGCGGGCCCTGTAGCTTGGAACAAGCGTTCTTTATGCTGGTTACCAACGGTACATACAAGGTTCCGTTATCCGATCTGCAAACAACATGGAGTGGCACGGTTCTAGTCCGCGGCCAATTAGCAGATGTGTTTCATGGTCGCTTTATGGACATGGGCGATACCAATTACGCGGTCCATCAGCAGAATATCGGATATTACGCCAATCAGACAGACGCCCATATGTGATGTTCGAGTGTCTTGGGGGAAGAAAGTTGAGCGAGTCACCGTGTTTTACTGCATACTAGTAGTAGCGATGCTGAGCATGCATGTCCTACGTTAGTTCATTGCGTTGGACGACCGTATAATGCACAGGGTGATGTCAGCTTGTCAGCCACATACCCAGCCGTTACAAGAGGTCCGTGCACCCATCAGATCGTGACTTCGCGTTAGCGACGTTCCCTGACTTATCTTGGACGCTCCCAATTCCAATCCACCAAAAAAATATAAAGAAACAAAAACCATGGCAGCGAGACCAACACAAAGAGGCATATCAGTATTATTCAAGGCCTCCTCTTCGAGAACAACACCATTGGCACACAGGACACAAACCCGTACATTATCTTCCTCGCGCATCAACGCCGCATACAATGCGACCCCACCACGAGCAGCAACAACAAGCACCACCTCCTCCACAGCCGCGAAACCCGCTTCCTCAACCACAACAGCAACCCCCCAGCGAACCGTAACACCTCAATTCCCCGCAAAAGAACCCCCAGTCCCCACGACCCGCAACGCCACCGCAGATTCTGCCGCTGCGGCCGCTCAATCGAAACGTTCGCTCACCGAAGGCCTCTCCGATGCGCCTCCAGAGCTCGAAGGCGTGCCCGCAATAGACTGGACGCGCTCGTACCACGGCCTCGGCAGTGTGTCGTTTACGCCAGAGCAATCTGAAGCCCTACTCGCACCCGTCACACAGGACGACGTCGAAGTCAAGCCAGACGGCATTTTGTACCTCCCCGAGATCAAATACAGACGTATTCTGAACAAGGCGTTTGGACCTGGTGGCTGGGGTCTTGCGCCGAGAGGCGAGAGCATAGTAACTGCGAAGTTGGTTACGAGGGAGTACGGATTAGTAGTACAAGGACGGTACGTTTGCATACATATCTTCCACCACGTGAACAGCCATACTGACGATTGGATTTTATTAGCCTTGTCTCCATTGCCCGCGGCGAACAACAATATTTCGACCCAGATGGCATCCCTACTGCGACCGAGGGCTGCAAGTCCAACGCCCTGATGCGATGCTGCAAGGATCTGGGTATCGCTTCTGAACTCTGGGACCCGCGCTTTATCCGCGAGTTTACGAGTAAGATGACAAAGGAGGTGTGGGTCGAGCACGCGACTACAAAGAAGAAGCGCAAGATTGTCCTGAGGAAAGATGATAGCCCAAAGTATCCGTTCAAGGAGGTCAAGTTATAGAAAGTCATGAATCACGCATTTTATGGGGCGGGGGGCGTTGAGCGTTTTCTGCCCTTAGAGATATGCATGTTATACCTCGGTTTGTAGCAATACCACTCATGTCTATCGAGTTTTTGGCTAAGGGAAGTAGACACACGGCTTCTATGATACAGTCGTGAGGTTTTTTCAGTTGTAATACCATCATCTACTTTTTTGTCCCGTCAAAACGCCAGAAGCCATGTATATTTATCCCGCGGGTCTTGATCATCTTGGAGACCTTTTCTAGCGATCTCCCAGATCAAACCCGGACCCCCTTGATCTGTTTCTCAGCTCGCCGGGGTCTCGTCCATATGCCAGAGGGTCGTCTTGAGATGCTTCCTGACGCTGCCAGTTCCATGGCATCCATCCACTGCTCGTCCTCCGACCAAGGGGAGGTGGTGTGATGGGGTATGGTGGCCGGTCTGATCCAGAGCTCAGCTCGTCACGCTCGATTCTGTCAAACTCTGCTTCGCTCCTGTTGCGGGACAGACTACCACTGCTCCTGCTGGATTCGTAGTGTGTGTTTCCGCCCTTTTGCTGGATGCGGATATTTTCTTGCTCGCGGTCAAACGCTTGCAGGAGGCTTTCGAGGCGCTGGCGCTGCGATGCCACGTAGTTGAGTCGGTCTTCGTTATTGCGGATCGAGTCTGGGACGAGTTTGGCTGCACCACGGCTCAGGTCAGAGGCCTGTGCATCCTTTGTTTCGGCAGTGCCAGCAGTGTATAGTGCGCTCGCTCCGCTGAGTGCCTGGTTCACGAGACCATATAGGTCATTGCTACCCCTTGCTGCGGGCATCTGAAATCTGCTCATAAGGCTCTGTGCATATGTCTGTCCAGCTGGCGGGGGTGCATCTGGCTTGCGAGGTGCGAAACCTAGCAGGTTGACCCTGACCCACTCGATGCCCATCTCGATATAGGCCATGCCTGCCGATTTCGCACGGTCATGGCTCTGGGTTATAAAGTCGTCAATCTCCTTCTCGTGGTGGTACAAGAACGGCTCCAAGTGTTCTTGGTAGATGTAACTTGCACCCTGAGCGCCCGGCAGGATCAAATATAGATGTGCAAAGAAGCGGATCCATGAGTAGAATGGCACCCAACTCAGGATGAAGTCGAATGTATTCTCGACGGCTGTGCAAGCGGATAAAACGACAAAGTAGATCAGCCACGGTGCGAGGAGGGCTGGGTCGGATGTGTGGAGGGCTTTGTATGATGCGAAAATGGGAAAGAAGACTGTAGTGACAACACTGGTGAGTTGTTAGTGAAAGCACTCATACAGTGTGTCGTTGTCTTTGGAAAGGAATCATAGGTTCAAGAGCCTGTATTGAGTAATGGCTCGCATGCTACACACTTTGGGCGGCCAAATTCACGATAAGCCGTGTCCGACTGGGTTTGCTTGGACATTGAAACGCGGGGGGGCGGGGTATAACTTACGTCAGGCCATCGGCAATGAAGCCGAACATGATGGCTGGTCTTCAAATCAATGCAACGAGGGTGGTGGATATGAGGGGAGATACAAGGAGAGCCACAAGCACAAGTAGCGAGAGCTGAGGCTTAGCCCGGGTACGCGGCGGAGATGCGGAACAGCCTGAGCGGCCTGGTGATCCACGGGATGCACGTCAGTCGCCGGCCAACAACGGCGTCGCGCTATCCGCTTTCGGTCCTTTGCGTCTGAACATCACCTGCTGGCCGCATTGTGACCAGAATTTGTCGCTGGTATCCTCGTGAGCCTCTGGATATACTTGCAGCTGTATCCTTCAGCGCCGCCTTGTTCAGCACTTTTTACTACTCTTGGAACGACTTCGCAGAGAAGCGCCGCCACCACATTTACCGTAATATCTCCGAAAAGAAGAAACAACATAGATGACATCATCTTTGGTCATAAAGCTCTGGAGAGATACCTTCATTCTCATGCTCTGAGTCTGAGCTTGCAACGTTTGGGGCAGTTATCGTTGAAGGTAAATCACTTTTGAAGCGCAGCCCATCATACAGCTTCTGGTGACTTACCGCATTCAGCCATCCGCAGATCTCCTGGGTTTCTTTTAAGATCAACCAAATATCTCAAACCTTCTCTATCGTGCGAAATTGTCCGTGTACTAACGCCTATATTAGACCATGTGGGGTGGAAGCTCTACTGCTGACAATAAGACCACTACCAGCGGCATCGGGAGCCGCAAAGGCTTGTTGCGGGCTAATCGCCATGTATGTAGCCATTGGTTTCCTTGGCTAGTTATCTACGTTCCTCTGCGCGTAAATCCGGTACTTCTACAACTCCTCCAGCACCCACTTCACCTCACCCAAACGGGCAGGACACACGAGAGCCGAAGACGCCTCCCATGTTGCCATGGCTGCCAAGATCACGCTTATGGCGACCCTGGATCCGATAACAGCTCCCACCCCGCATTTGCAACATTGCTGCCGTTTGACATCATTTGACTATGCTCTACAGAGGCACAATCGAGCATTTTATATCCAGCTTGCAGAGTGATGGATTACGTAAATATGCCCCCATGCCTTCCCGGTTATCTGTACAGCTACAGTAGCCCGGGTCCGTTTACTTGGCCCGAGACTTGACATGGCCGATCATGCCTAAAATGCCAGTCAAATACCCAGTAAGCATGTTGTAGCTGCACCAAGTCTTGGTATAAACGTACATTCATCCAATCTTTGCAAGCCCTGATGCCGGACGACGTATGCCAATTGTTGGGGTGCTGGTGCCTCACATATTCTGCCATTGTAGATCAAGCTATCGGAGGCCCTTTGTTAGAAAAGGGAAAGCTTACTCGCATCAAGATGCCGAATGGTTTGTGTGACATGGATTACGCACAAGTATAAAACCCAGAGAAATCCCTACAGAATTAGCCCCAGGTTCTCGTTGCTGAAACTCGTCCGACGAGCTCTATCATGGCTTTGATAAGATCAATTGTGGCATTACTTGCCCTTCAATTAGCTAGCGCAGCACCCCAAGCCTCAGTAACCTCATCTGCTGTCAGTTCTCCTAGCCCAACCGGGCTGGATCCGGCAGTCTTACTCTCTACAGAGGAAGTCGAGGAGCTCTACAGCCTCCATGAAGAGCTTGTCAACATCCCATCCATCTCTGGAGACGAAATCGAATGTGCGGGTTTTGTATCAAAGTATTTAACCGACTTGGGCTACTATGTCGATAAAGTACCAGTCAATGAAACAGGCACATACAATGTCTTTGCCTATCCCCAAGCGTTGAAGGACGAGGGAGTATGGCCGGAGGTTCTCATCACTAGTCATATTGATACTGTACGCGCAGCGTCTGGGTCTGTAAATCACAAACAACTATTGACTGGAAAATAGGTACCACCATTTTATCCATTTGAACGCCGTGAGAGGAATGGCACAACCTACCATTTTGGCCGAGGAACCGTCGACGCCAAAGGACCAGTCGCAACCATGATCATCGCATCCCACAAATTCCTTCAGTCCCGCAATGAAACAACTAGCTTAGGCATGCTATTCGTCGTCAGCGAAGAAAACTCCGGTGCAGGAATGAGAGCATTCGCAAAATACGCATCTAACACGACCTTCCGAGCCGGCATCTTCGGCGAACCAACCGAAGGCAAGCTTGCAAGCGGCCACAAAGGCAGTTTCGGCATCACTCTCAAAGCCATCGGCAGGGCGTCTCATTCCGCATACCCGTGGCTCGGTGTAAGCGCCATCAACTACGTCGTCGACGCCATCTCCGCACTAAGGGCTTTGGAACCCGCTCTCCCCAAGAGCGAACTTTTGGGTGCTTCAACACTCAACACGGGTCTCATCGCCGGTGGTGTCGCCAGCAACGTCGTGCCCCCCAACGCCAACGCAAGCGTCTTAGTACGTGTTGCACGCAGCGAAGACAATGCCGTCGACACTATCAAAGATATGGTTTCCGGTCTGTTTGCTCCGCTCGTCAGCAGCGCCAAGGAAGTCAATGCCACGTTCGAATACACATATTCTACCCTGTCGACGAGAGCGCAGATTCTAGATACGGATATCGAGGGCTTGGAGGTTGCGCCGGTGTTTTACGGAACTGATATTCCGAATTTGCCGCAGGTGGAGAAGAGGTATTTGTATGGGACGGGTACGATTGAGGTGGCGCATACGCCGGATGAGATGTTGAGTCAGGAGGAGTTGGTGCAGGCTGCGGAGGCGTATGGAGCGATTCTGAGGACGATTTTTGCGTAGTAGGATTATGGAGAGGGAGGGAGTATGGATTCATGTAGAATGGTGTGGTCTCACTGCGCCATTGCTATTGAAGTTCTAAATATATTGATAGTGCATGAACGATGTCAAAGTGCTACTTGTGTTTGTTTGATGCTTCTTCGCCAAAATTTCGAATTACACGAAAGTGGTATACGGCAGGCTGATATTCGCGACAGGTAGTGACCTAGAGGCTGAAATAAATTAATGCGTTCACAATTTTTCACCTGAAAAGTCTCTTCACCGTGGTGTTGCCTTGGCAGAGTGAAAGTACAATACTCATCCCGCTCACTGGAGCCCTGCAAACGCCCATCGACGCGTCTGCCTTGGAGTGAAAAGAGGCAGAAGATAACGCAATCCGTCCTCGTGGTAGTGTTGCAAACGACGCCGTTCACGCTAACCCGGTCCCACCAGGCATTCCGACGCCTCCTCCCATCAAGGAGCTCACCATGATTGAGCACCAGCTCCGGCTCCCAATCGCACCCCTTGCCCACATGTTATGAGAGTAGAAGAGAAAAGAAGGGTTGGAGGGCGCGGATTGCCCTTTGTTTTGCCATTTCGGTATGACATGACCCTGCTGCAGGGGTCTTGCATCTTTGTTGGAGGAATGATACGGTAAGACGTTCTTGGTCACTGATTGTTGTACTTTTAACTAACTGGACAGGGTTTCGAGGGTAGTAGCCCGGCTCCCAATAATGGGATTCCGGGCCTGGAAGATGTTAAATGAAACTTCAACGTCAACATCCGCGCTGGCGAAGTCGGCGGTTCTTCCGAACGCCGAGTTTCGTTGGCACCTCTCTCTGGACTGTTGGGCCTTCGGAGCCAGGAGTGGTTGCTTGTTTATTGTGCGATGACATGGGATTTGGCAAGACAGATATGGTCATCCTAACATACTTTATCCACTACATGTCATGAATTATTTTCTTCTTTTGAATCTTGACTTTTCTTTTCGAAGATGATGCAAACAACGTCATACCACTCGATTCGCTTCCCAACCAAGTGACGCTAGTTTGCCAAAATGACGGTCATGAGACATTGTCAAGGGAAGTGTCTATGGCAGGTATGTAGTACAGTAGTAATACGGATGTCGGATGGCATAGTCCCGAAGGAAGGGTTTCTTGGCACCAATACAGCAACGTCAGATGGTGGGGCGTGTCATTGGAGACGCATCTCACCCCCCATCTGTGGCTATGCACATCCAAGGCCTATCACAATCCTCTATAGCATGTACATATACTTATGCTTTATGGGAGGCTGAAGATGATGTTCTCGCTTGGCAGCGACCTCGTGCTGCGCGCATGCCACGCGAGCAAATGACGTGCCGTGGCCCTGGAGTGAGCGCGTGCGTGACCAGCCCAGGTCGTCGCTAATGTCGAATGCTCTCTCCTACGTCCGGTATATCATCCCTTTCCTCTGGCTTCCGCCCACGCGATCTCCGGCTGCATACATAAGAATCCAGGGTCTCGATCAGCAACGACTGCGCATGTCCTATGACGCGTTTGCGGCTGCTGGCTATTGGTCCTAACAATCTCCGCTGGATCCGCTACTAAATGCTGCTCACGCCTCGCACCTATTCCAACGCACAAACTGCCGACGCCGGCCGCAAACTTCCTGAACCCTCATTCTTCGTGTGCACAAAGTCGCGCAAGGAGCTGCAAGCTGAGGAGAAGCGTGCGCTGAGGATGTTGCTGCTGCACCAAAAAGGGGCTGTCAAAGTAGGCGAGGTTGTGAGGTGAGTTACTGTATATGGGCATGGGCACATGCCCCAGACATGGACATGCATACATGTCGTATGGTTTGGGGCACGCCAAAGCGCTCAACGGTCCCTCGTGTTCAACCGTGCTAAGACGCTGGGCAGGTACACACTTACATACACGCCCTCCGAAGACCGAATATTACCCCCGCCTCCTATCCTCCATGTCCGTATACGCAACTCGTCGGCCATTCCTCTGCGCGCCGCATACCTCCATGGGCCCTACACCATCCACGTCTCGGCCTACCCCTCCACCTTCAACCCCAACGTCAAAAATGAAGATGCCAAGATCTACGGCGCCCCCGACTTCGAGCCTAACCTAAAGGCAGGAGGTTACTGGAATACAAAATTGACGGTGCCCGAGCATGCGAGGACCGAGATTCCAGGGTATAATGCTGAACCGAAGACCGTCACTTGGATAATTGAGATTGCATCGCAGATCATCTTCTCAAATTCTGCGTCGGTAAACTACGAATTGCTAGTTGCACGCGACGAGCGATCACTTGACCTTGGCTTCACCGCTGTAACGGGGAACACACATGGAACGCCAGGAAAAGTTCAGGACCACCAGCAAGGAAGCCAGAAGCATGTTTCAAATCATGCAGGACAGCCCAAGGGCGTCTATTCTAAGGCAGTCAAATTGGTAGTGGATGATACAACTAGTTTGTGGAACAAGCCCGAGTTGCCGGAATGGAAAGATGAGGAACCGGGCAGCGAGGGAGAGTCCAAGAATACTGACCATGCAAAGGAGCTGGCTGAGCGGAAAAGAAAGAATATTCACCTCGTCATTGTAACACATGGATTGCACAGCAATCTCGGTGCAGACATGCTGTACCTGAAAGAGAGCATTGACGCGACTGCAAGACAAGCGCGCGAGAGTCGGCGACAGCGACGCAAGGAGAAAAAGGGGGGTGGGACCAAAGCTGCAGGCAAGGACACATCCACTGCACCATTGTCTGGTGGCCAAGATGAGATATCGGATGCGGAAGATGAAGACGAAGAAAACGAGGAAGAAGTAGTCGTACGTGGCTTTGACGGCAACGTAATACGCACCGAACGCGGCATCCAGTATCTGGGGAAGCGACTTGCTAAGTACGTCTTGCGTTTAACGTACCCTGACCAGCCATACCTCCCAATCAAGAAGACCGTGGGACAAAAGCTGTCCAACACCTTTTCGCCTACAAGAGACAAGGCAGATGAGGGCATTCCTGCTCATCAAGGCAGTAGTGTGCATCACCTGTTCAAAGGTCGGGACAAACGGGCATACCGGTTCACCAGCATCAGCTTTATCGGCCACTCTCTTGGCGGTCTTGTACAAACGTACGCCATTGCGTACATCCACAAACACTCCCCTCACTTCTTCGATACAATTAAGCCTGTCAATTTTATTGCTCTGGCCTCTCCGTTTCTGGGGTTAAGCAATGAGAACCCCACCTATGTCAAGTTTGCACTGGACTTTGGACTGGTTGGTAGAACAGGACAGGATCTCGGTCTAACCTGGAGAGCACCCACACTGGCAAGGAGTGGCTGGACCGCAATGGGTAATGTGTTCGGAACTCAGGGCCAAGCTTCACAGCAGGAGGACCCTGGCGCTAAACCTCTATTACGAATTCTTCCTACAGGGCCTGCGCACCAGGTTCTGCGGAAATTCCGGAATCGCACCGTATACTCCAACGTCGTCAATGATGGCATTGTACCACTGCGTACAAGCTGTCTCTTGTTCCTTGACTGGAGAGGGCTGGGTCGGGTACAGAAAGCCCGGAGAGAAAACGGACTCATCGGTACCGTTGCTGTGTGGGGTTATGGTCAACTTACGGGGCAAAACTCTTCGCCCAATCCTTCACGAATTGGCTTTGCAGAGGACGAAAGCTCTGGAGCTGATTCTCCAACATTTCAGGGCGATGACACAGCTGTACCCCTACCAGGCGCTGATACGACCAATCAAGAAGACGAAACACAGGTATCTACAGTAGAGACTGCGGCGCATCAAGTGATTGAAGGACAAAAGAAGAGCCCAGATGAAAGAGACCCGAACGACAACTATTTTCAGCCGCAAAATACGCTGATGCAGTGGTGGAGCTATATCAGGCCCACTGGAAAGCATACCTCGCGAGACAAGAAGATGTTCTCGCGAAGCCAGACGATCTACAAGGATGATGAAGATGAACAATCTCCTACCCAGGCAGAAGACTCGTCGTCATCATCGCGTACGGACCAGCAAAGGAAAAGACCTCGAGCGACGCGTGGCGACTCCATTGTCGATAATCCTCGAAGCAACATGGCACCACCCAAGACTACGATATTCGAGTCGGCTGGTGATTTGATCAATCCCCCTGTACCTCCGCACTCATGGATCAACGATCCAACCACCCGAGCACGCGCCATCTTTCATGACAGGATCTATCACCCGGAAGATATCCCTCCGCCACCAATCAAGAAGAGGGCCACGCGAAACTTTTCAGGTGATAGTGTTGCCAGCCAGGCATCGACAACCAGTGTTGATGACAGTGTGATGCGTGTGGAAGAAAAGATTGCCCGCGCCTATCATAAGGATCTCTCGTGGCGTAAGGTATTGGTCAGCCTTGAGCCCGACGCCCATAACAACATCATTGTACGCCGTATGTTCGCCAACGCATATGGGTGGCCTGTCATCAAACATCTTTGTGATACCCACTTTGCCGACACATACTCGGCTAACACGCGCACTGAGCTCGAGCCTGCAGTTGAGCGAGCCGAGCCAATGGACAAGCCTATCGACAGAAATGGCGAGCGAGTCAAGGGGCAGCAGAATCAACACCCACCTGTTGAACGTTCCGACAGTGAGATGCGCGAGGTAGCTGACGAGTTGGCGCCTCTGCACCCGCTCACTTTGAAGATGCCAAAGAGATCCAATACGACCGACTCTATGCATAGTATCGGGTCTGGTGACTGGGATAGCATCTACTTCAACGAGACTAGCGACGATGAAGACGAGTTCGACGATCGTAATGCCGTGCAGCGTTTCTTCCAGCCTAATAGTGCAAAGAGCCCCCGAAGCCCTGGTTTTCCACCTAAGACACCTGACGGAAAGGGCACTAGTCAAGCGGACATTGCCGACTTCCTTCGTGGGTCTAATGTTGAAGTTCACAGGGGTCTTGGCGCAAGCCCGAAGAGTAGGACTGCTCCTACTCTGACCGCTGAGCCAGACTCAATCGAACCCGGCGAATCTTCTACTGCGAATGAACAAGTGGAACAAGCCTCGACCCATTCTGAGGCACCTATGGGTAGGATTAGCGGGGTTGGCTTGAGGAATGCTGCTGACGTTTCTGCATCTCCAGAGGGTAGTAAAGCGAGTCCTGGAGGCAGTAGCGTCACTGAGCAGGTTGCCAGACTGAGCAGCCCCAAGGCTGACAAGCAGGATGATGCTAGCTCGTAGTGCAGAGTCCGCGACATCTTGAGGCGGTTGACGGCGTAGAACGAAGAGGTGCAAGAGACGACGACAACATCGCATAGACATTTTCAGCAAGTACCACAGCCCTCTTGGCGATTTTGGGTACTCTTCCCAGATTCTTTTCTTGTCTAGATCCTTCCCGCGTTTTCGGTCTTGGATGCATGGGGGTGTTACGTGACGTTAGGTTTGAGATCAGTGCACAGAGACGAGACGGATGGTACACGGACGATAGCATGGGCCGTAGTACCGTTTGTGTACCCACAAGATACCCCAGATATCACATAGTTTGTAGACATATATATTTTTAATCTTATTCTCTGTTTCTGTTCTTTCACTTTCCCCTTCGTTGACACTCTGCTATACTGTGTTCACACTGTGTTCTGGTTGACCCAATGTACTCAAACAATGCATCACCTGTGACGCAGTAGCACATATGTGAACTTCTCACTCATGGCCCTCAGAGGTTTTGCTCCTCGCTTTCCTCTTTCACCAACAACTCTATTGGCGACGTCACCTTGATGCCGCGCCTTCCCAATTCACTCTGTCACTACCGCGTGGCAACGTGCTCTGTTTGTTTTCAGTAACTCGAAAATAGCAAACCGAGTCTCACACTCAATTCACCATACGATCAAAACACAGCTTTTTCCGAATACAGACCTATTTCAATTCGACAACACACTGGTGGTTCGCTATTACTGTTCAGAGAAGGGATAGCAGCCAGCGTGATGCCCACCTCTGACTCTAACAGTCCTTCAAGGCATCGAAGCTCTAGGGCTGGCAATAGCCAAAAACAACGCCGCCGCATCGTACGACGATCCAACATGTCACGCTCGAATAAAACACCCGATCTCGTTATGATGTCACCCGCTTCGTTGTATAGCGGATGTGGTGTCACAGTAGCGCCGGACGAAGCAGGAGTCGTAAACACCTCCTCTTCTTCGGAGTCGTTCGCTTCGATGATCAATAGTACGTCTTTTGGTCACTCGCCTACGATCTCGATTAGAAGCGGGTCAAACACAGTAGTAGAAGGCAAGAAGAAGCATGGAGTGTTTGGCTTCAAGGCAAAGGACAATGACCGCCCGAAAAGTTCGCATGGGTCCCCCCTTCAACTATCGCCTCTGCCTCCGCTTACCCCAGTGAAAGCTGCGCAGTTTCTGGGTGTCGAATGCGGCGCTGTGAGGACTCGAAGCGGGTCACTGGGCAGTCGAGTTCAGGATGTTTATGAGTTCAACGGTCTGCTGGTACGATCAATTCCGGAGGACAAAAACTCTTCGACTCGACTGACCGATCCTCAGGACTCTGCGAGCGAAAAGACTGAGTTCATAGAGGAGGATGTTGTCTCAGGACCAGTAACATCCAAGTGCCTTTGGGCAGCCGGTAACAAGAAAGCGCAGCGGATGTTTGGCATAGCCTCATCGCGTGGATCTAGCATCAAGCGTAGAGCTGAGCCAGAGCGTCACTTCACTGAGACGCCAGCGATTTATTCAAAGAAGGGAAATCGAGTTGACTACAGCAGTGAGCCTGATGTCCATGCCCGCGCTCCTGCAAAGCCTCGAAAACGTCGTACGTGCAAGAAGGCCCCTAAATCACTCGATCGGATGACGCCTATCACGGAAATATCGTGTGACGAACTGCGTTCTTCCTATCACGATTCTGAACACAATCCTGAGTTGGAACTCATCTCGGAGTATGAACGCGATCCTTCATACAGTAATAGCCTACCGCAACGACCACCAACTCCGTTACCGCTCACGGTTAATACCAGTTATGAGTTGGAGGAAGAAGATCTCTCACCGGTGGATGCCAATTCAGGAAAACAGGCTGTTGCTGGAGTAGAAGAATCTGCACAATATTCCGATCGCGAAGTTGGCGTCAACAAACCTAAGCCAGAGCCGTTGACAGTCATATACCTACACGGTCCTTTACAGTATTTTGAGGACCGCCTTCTCGATGTGACTGAAGCTCATCTTGCGGCTCAGAAGATGAAGAATGACATCAATGATGCTGCAAGAGTCTACCTGGATGACAAAGGCTGTTGTTTGAGAGCCTCCCACAAAGCGATGAAGAAGGAATTTGTGGCGGTAAGGCCGAATGTGCTCGTTGAGGATTCTGACAACGACACAGAGTCTGCAAGCGACGATGGCAAAAAACTAGTCTCTATTCGTGGCAGTATTGATTTGGAAGAAGATCCAATCGTTGATTTGGTCGAATTGATGACCTGCACACACATCACCGCAAGTGTGAGGAAGCTTGTCGATGTTCAACCCAAGAAGCCAAAGCCAACCACTCCGTCCAAAGGCCAGCCTACGCTCAATCCGTCAAGCGGAGTAAATTCACCCTTGAAGTCGACGTATATCTTCCAGCATGACGAGAAAGCCAGTCCATTCAAGGAACTCATCTGCAACGTAAGCGTACGTACATCCACACAACCTTTCCCAACCCGAATTAACACCACGCAGCCCACCCTCAAACGCATCTATCACCCAGCTAAACTCCCCAAACAGATTCGTAGAACAAAAAAGAGCAGGAATCTCTGCAACGATTCCCGCATCCTAGTCCAAAACTGGATCTCCACAAACGACCACACCAAACAACGCCCCTTGTCTGACCGCCTCGACATGGACGTCCTATCCGACCAGCAAATCCCGCCTGCTCCCTTCCCCAAAGATAATACTAGCAGTGTCTCTATCACCAACTCCCCTCGATCTCCGAGGAAATCATCAAAAGAAGACTATTGCCTCCGAAACGGCCACATCCTCCACCCAATCAAACTCCCATCTATCCCCGACGAAGCCGCCATCAACGCCCTTGAAGTCCGACCTCATCTGCGCACCCACTCCAGGCGTAAGATGCGCGTCCATATTCCGGTGTTTTGTGATCGGTGCGGCGAGGATGTGCGCGAGGAGCTGTGGGGGTGCGATCTTGCGGCTTGTCGCATGGTGGTGTGTAAGGGATGTTCGGCGGATATGGAGGCGGAGTGGATGGAAAGGGTGTGTGGGGGGGTGTGAGAATTGAAAATGGGAAGTTGGGGATATGGAGGACCTGGGAATAAGTGAGAGAATAGGCATTTTAGGGATACGGAGACGGATAGGTTAGCTAGTGAGAGGGATTCTGGGTACTCGTGTAATGAGTAAATATGAATGGAGGTATTGTAGATGAACGTGTGGTGCGAATGTATGCTTTGTGTGGTTTGCGTGTCGATGTGACCTTGAACTCACGCTATAGCGGCTGTTTCGAGCCCTTCTTACACGAGGAAGTTGACAGAGAGAAGTAATCACTACTTGATACCCGAAAGATTGACCATGATAGTTCTATCAACTCCGAATTCATTATGCAGTGTCTATTGCACCTTCCGTATTATCCAGTATGCCATGATGACTACCTCAAAAACGTCGGAACTTATCTCCTCAAATCGACTGAATTCATCCTTTTAACTCCCAAGAAAAAAAACCCCCCATCAAGAGCCACATCGCAGTATCATACATCCAATCCTCACGTTGAAAGATTCCAGACTACCTTGCTGAAACGACCCATCCCATTCCCGCTTCAATAATCGACCAAAGCAGCTAAATCCGCGATACCCTCTCAAACACCCGTCCAAGCACCCCCTGCAATCCCTCGCCCCTGCATCCCCGAAATAAACTCATTCCTCAACTCCCTCTCCTCGTCAAACAATCGATCCCACCCAGCTTCATCCCTCAGGATACTCTTGCTATACTGGCGGGGATCCGGATGCGCCCAGTGCGTAACCAGGAAATGCAAAACGAGAACGCGTAATGAGGATTGAGCCGGAAAATGGGACCAGGTAAATTTTGCGAGGGACGGGGTGAGCGGGAAGTGGTGGCCGAGGGACCAGCGGATGCGGGCGAGGGTGTAATGAGTGAAGGAGGGGGAGTCGAGGGTTTGCGAGAGGTGGCAAGCATGGAAGCTTGGGGGAATGGGGTAGTGGTGCGCGGGTTGAGGGGTCAGGGGCATGAAGGTGGCAGTGGTGGCTGGAATTATTCTGTGTACTGCGGATGTGGGTGCCGGTGCCGGTTTCATGCTTGGAGGGCTGGGCTTGGTGGTGGAGTCGGGGTGCGCTGTGGGTGGTATGCTGAGAGCACTGGAGGAGGATGAGATTTCATTGGATGTAGATGCGGTTTGACTTTTGTTAGTAGCAACGGAAGGTTGGCTAGGCTTTGGGTGGTGAGCCATCGAGACTACATTCAAAGGGGTTGGTGCAGGTGCGTACTGCTGGACCATTCCCTGAGAAGTGTTGACGTCGGCTGAGGCCGGATATGCGTCCTTGTACATATAGTGGAGGAAGAGGCAGAAGATAGCTGGATCGACCTCAGGGAGTCGGATGACCCAGTCTGGTTTCTTCACTTTCTCTTTTACATCTTCCTCGTCGGTGTCTGGCTCGATCTTGATCGCCGTGTCAGTCTCTTCGGGTTCCGTCATACTTTCGGTTGAGTTGTCTTGACGAGCAGTCTCCGAGAGCTTTCGTTTCTTGTTGGTACTAGTTGGGGACAAGGCAGCCAAGCGCAACTGAGAAACTTGCTGGCGGAAGTAGTTCGAATAGTGGCAGAGGAGTGCAATGGGAAGGACGAAGCTTCGGCGGTTTTGATGTTCTCCGACTACGACTCGTATGGCGTTCCCTTCGATCCTTGAAGTTGTTAGTGATATATGTGGAAGTCTACTAACTGAGATAGCTTACATTTTAACAAACATATCAGGTTGTTTTGCACCAAGCGCTTGCGAGGGTGGGTGATGAGCTATGGTTGGCGGTGGCTGAGACGGCGGTGCCTGTTTGATCATTGTCTTTGGCAGGACTGGTAACGCTTTGGAATTTGGAAAACTGATATTCGACTGAGTGGGCAGAAAGAGCTTATGGAGTTGGTTAAAGCAGACGTCAGTGGATCTCGATGGAATAGGCCTTATTTGTATCTCATCAGCACAGTGCTCACTTGGTGAAGCAAACAGTCGAGGCGACGGTTGCGAGAGACGCCTTCACCTCGAAACGAGGTGAGTGAGTGGCATGAAGGCAGAAGTGAGAGATTGAAGCCTTCACGCAGACATTCTGAAAGTGAACAAGGTTGCACGATTCTTACCGGCCTTAATGAAATAGGAAACTCTAGTATCTCCAACTAACTGTAACATCTTTGGATGGTTGTAGACTCGGTACATACTTATGTTGCGGGCAAACAATGCATGACGGATCCATCAGGAGCTTCAATTGATGGCTCATTGGATTCTGAACCATTTGCATCGCATATAAAAAGCCGGACCGAGTTTTGAGAAATGGTCGCGCCGTAGTGAGAAGTGAAGGTGTATTTATCATGCTATATCAGGAAAGCATGGGGTGAATGCCAAGGCGCTATGGATGTTTGCGTGTGGACCACAATAACAAATACATACACTGATGGTAGCCTGTTTTTCGTATGACAAGGCATAATTCCAGAATACGATGACCGTGTCAACCATTGTAAATAAATCGCTTCAGAATTTGAGGGAAATGGTTCAGCAGAGAATGTGGTGTATTAGACGCTCAGTATGAGCAAACTACTTCAGTAGAAAGTATGGGTATGGTAGGTCAATCCTAACCAAGATATAGTCATGAGACATCCTCATCTCAGAGTAGCCAAGAGAGACAATCGCCAAACTAGACCTTGGCCTCGACGTTGACATCCTCAACGTGGCCGTGGTGACCAACCTTGAGTTTTCCGTCCTCAATATCACGGGCAACGCGGTCAAGACGCGACTCGACCTTTCCAGCCTTCCAAGCAGGCAAACCAGAATCAAAGACGTCGTCCATCTCCTCAAGTGTCTTGCCCTTTGTCTCTGGTGCGGTCAAGAACATGTGAATGAACGCAACAGCGTTGAAGGTACCGAAGATCATGTACATCTTCCAGTTGATGGACCAGAGAAGTGGTGGGACGGCGAAAGCGAGGATACAGTTCCAGGTCCAGTTTGTGGCAGTAGCGAGACTGACGGCTTTGGCGCGGACCTTGGCGGGGAAGATCTCAGATGGGTAAGTCCAGGAGACGGGTCCCCAAGTGGTGGCAAACGTAGCGACAAAGAGGTATGAGCATGCTACGATGGCCTTGGAAACAGCGCTGTGCTCACGAGGTACGACCCAGGAGATATCCTTGTCGGATTTGTCGGGATTGGGGTTGCCGTAAGAGGCCTGGAGAGCGCCCGTGGTGAAGAGCCAAACAGCCATTCCAAAGGATCCGCAGAGCAACGCTGGGCGACGACCGAACTTGTCAAGGTATAGGATAGCCGGGAGAGTCATGGCAACATTGATAATGTACTGAATGGATGCAGTGAGGAGCTCATCGGCGATCCCAGCTCCGCGCATAATGAACACAATGTAGTACATCATGATGTTCATACCTGATATAGTTAGTAACGGTGCTATCAGTTCAAGGGATTTCCATACCGCAAAGCTGTGACCACATCTGAATGGACATGCCGAGTATAACACGCTTGAGAATGCGGGGTTTGACAAGAGCAGCGAAGCTAGTTTCAGCAACCTCACGCTCGAAAGCAAGAGCCTCCTCGATCTCCCTGTATTCAGCGAGAACCTTGGGGTGGTTGACATCGCCACCACCGTGGAGGTTGGCAAGAACATGGAGGGCCTCCTCCCAGCGGTCTTTTGAAGCTAGCCAACGTGGGGATCGAGGAAAGAAGAAGAACCCGATAAAGAGAATTGCTCCGGGAACGGCCTGGATACCCCATGGAATACGGAAGGCAGCGGTGGCTTGGTTCGGGTTGTCAACGCCTCCATCTACGAAGGAACTTCCGTACTGGATGAAGTATTGGATCACTGCGAGTATGTCAGCATGAGTTATTCTAGCGTTTATCATGGCAGTGCACTTGGAACTACCCAGTGGTGCGTGAAGAGAACCAGCAAAGTCATGATATCGATCTAAACAAGGCTCCAGATGTCGAGTGTGAGTAAACAAGGCACTTACGTATACCCCAAGTGATAGCCCATTGCTGTAGTGAAACGACACGGCCACGAATTTGCTTGGGCGCAATTTCTGCCTGGTAAACGGGAACCATAGCGGAGCAGATACCAATGGCATATCCGCCAACTGCTCGACCGACACAAAGGAGAGCGACACCATTAGCCGCTGCCTGGAAGACTGCTCCAATGATCCAGATAAGAGCAGCGATCTGGATAGCCACGCGACGTGAGAGCCGATCAGCGATGAAAGAAGAGGAGAGAGCTCCCAAGAGCGAGCCAGCAGGCATAGCAGCGGTTATACCACCTTGGCGAGTTCCGCTGGAATTGCCAAAGTAGCGCTTGTACGCCGGAGTGCCAAGAGCACCCGACATGGATGAGATATCAAAGCCGAAGAGAATGCCACCAAGAGCTGCGAAGCCACATATTGCATAGACGTTATAGATCTGGGGGAACTGTAGTACTGGTATGAGTAATCACATCGAGGCGTAACCAGGAATTGGAAGCTTACCTTCATCTTGCCAAGTGGTTGTGATCAGGCTAGAAAGAAGAGTCGGTGGAACGGGTGGAAAGAAAGAGGTACAGAGTGAGATGGCTACAATTTTATATGAGAAGCAGGCTGCATAGTGCGCGTGATCTCGCTGGAATACAGTCCGTGCGGGTGGCCAGTTGGACTTGGTCTTTCACTCCTGCTGTAAACTAGGCAGTTCCCATGCCGTGGCGTTTGTCCAAACTGGCAACCTCGCTAATAGGCGTTGGACTGGGGTACATGTGATCCTACAGGAAAGCGGGAATATTTCCTGGGGTAGTACAGTTTAAGGCCGCAGCCCCATGTCGTTATGATGAAACCCTCCAATAGATGGACTTGAGTACGACGCATGTACCTAGTACACATGCAAACTCGCAGTTTCTCAACTTCGTGGAGTCGTACCGACGAAGCATCGAGCAGTGGGGCAGATATGCTACGATATGAATTGGCTCTGATGTGGGATCTGAACCAAGGGACACCGCACTGATACATATCAGTCGATGATCAGGAGCTCTTGGTATTCGACCCGCCACTGCAAAACTGGCAACCCAGGAAACCAGCCTTGCTCAGGTCGCGAGCAAGTTCTTCACTGACTATGGCTGCCAATAACAACGCTTGATCGACACGCATGCCCTAGTTGGGGATCTCCGACTTGGCATGGGCGCGGCATTACATGATGTCTCGCGACCAGAATTTAGTGAAGATGAGCGCCAGTCCAGTTGCGCAGCACCATGCAGCTAAGGTAACAACCAAAGCAAGTAGTGGGACACCTTAGGCACAGTCTTTGTCCAATGATATTCTTTCCTTTTCATCTGTGGGTCGTACGCATGTTGTTGGATATGCAAGCGAAGCATCTGAAGAAGACCAGACGTTGCATTCGGGAGAGGAGACGACGTGCGCCAAGCGCGCAATGGTGCCAGCAATTGACACCCAAGCTCTCGGCTGCCTTTTCCCGCTCTTCGACAACCCGTCGAATAGATGCATGATGACTGAGGCATCATTCAAATAGACTTTCTCAGGACAGTGAAGCGCTTGGGTAGCTATTTCTAGCAATCCTACCGGCGCGTTGGATTCTCTCGAATTGTTGATTGGTGGCTGAATGGCTGGCCCGCACGCGCGGCACTTCTGTTCCGAGTACAGAATTGGATGCAGTCAAGGTCATGGTTTGAAGGAGTCAACTGCCTGTTATGTGGGGATGTGAAGGTCTCTAAGTTGGATCGCGTGGCTCAGAGCGGGGTTCGGTCCAGCCTGCCAAGTCTACCACAGTGCCGGTGTCACTGCAGTATGTACGGGTGTGCCTGTTTCGAAACCATACATATGTATGGGCAACATCTTATTTTCTGTTCTGGAAGTGGTCTCTTCCTCCCGAAACTCAACTGGAAAATCATCGAAGCGAACACTAAAATACGGAATCGATTCAGAAAGGGAGTACTAAGAACATCCGATTCGATATCGCGGCTTGCAGTCCGCAAATGATTTGTATCAAATACCTCACGACACATCGACTGACGTGAGCTTGCTATAGACTGCACACATTGTCCTACATGATAGCCACACCGATGTTGTGCTGTAGCAAACTCAACTCACCGTTCTTGAACGAACTACCCGATGTGAACGTGCTCTTCGGCTGAGCAGACCACACTTTGGGAAAACGACAAAGAGGCCAAGTATTAGTCCTTCTCACGCAGACATGACTTGACGACAGTAGAAGGATGACAGAATGGCTTAAGTATGCAAGCCAGTGCTGATCAGTCGACAACAAGCTATATACATCTAACGCTTTCTGTCTAATCGCATACATACAGTTCCCAGTAGATGCAGATAAGGACTGACCTATCAACTCAATATACCGTTAACTAACATTCAGACACGCTATATTAAGTTTTTGCTTTTCTCCGACAAGATGCATCGCACCTGCATTTGCGAAATCGAATCAATCAACGCCCCTGGATTGCAATATCCTTCTCGTCCGCGTACCTGCATATGGGATGCGAGCAATGCCCAGCCTCTGTCCTCGGCTCTTTGCGCTTCCGTTTCCATTTCCAAGCTTGAAAATTCCGAAATAGTGGATATTTCTGTCCATGCTCATCTCTCAACAACTAGCATGTTTACCTCTCAGCAGCCGAACACCAACCTCTGGTCGGTCATTGGTTGCACTCGACCTATCAACAGACCAATGATACGAAATTGCCCACCACCACCTTCCAATTGCATCACGCAGCACCGTCTAGCACACTTCTAGCCTCTCCAAAGTCTGACATGCCGCTGGAATAGGATGGCCTCGTGTCGCACTGCATCTCATGATTCTTGTACCTTTCCCAGTCGGGCTCCACTATCAAGTCCGCGACACATAGTCGCGATGCTCCTGCATAAGGTCGCGCGCACCAACCTGCTGATGCCGACAGCTGCCTTGGTCCATGCTATGGTGATCCGTCCCCTGAAGTGCTTATGAACAATGTGCCGCGGACTGTATCTCATGCCTCGGAAATAGTATAAATATCGTACCACGCTGCCGTAGCCGAGTAGCAACACAGTCAGCTGCGGGTTCTGGATAAAATATGAGCTTACTGCAACAGCTCATTCAGTGCGGACTACAGCATACAACCCTCCTACCCATCACTACAACGGCGTGTCGCTAGACCTTTGAGATTTACAGATCCCAAACAAACTAATTGGTCGGTGACCCGCGGAAGCGAGACGTCGAACCTGCATTACGCACTTCCAGGATCCAACGTGGAGGAAGACATCAGCTGGAACCGGTCACCGGATTCCGTAAGCATAACTCAAAATTCGATCACCATATACAAGTCAGGCGTATGCTTCAGTGGCTGAGGATTTCCAACATCACACACACATAACTCACTCATGGAACCACTACGATCGTGCTTTTCAGATCCTCTCTCGCCTTGTTGGACCAGAACTCGACCTCACACCACGACGGAACGCAACCCCAAGTCAGCTGGACTATAGTTAAGACGACAGGAAACAATTTCCATTTTCGACAAATTTTACACACATCTAGTCGCAGTATAGGCTAGAATATCCGAAACCACCGTATCGGCATGCCACATCACATAACAAACTGCGTCTTTGCGCGCACGAGCCTGACAACTTGCGACGTCTTTGTCAGAGCCTTGGCTCACATGAGCCCAAGGGCAGAACTATCACCCGAGGAATTTATACAAGCAGCAAGTCCATGGTTTCTGGATACTGAAACAGTGTGGAGTAGGGTGTTTCTCACGGCCACAGGATGAGAAGTGGGATGGTTTCCGAATAGCGAGAAAAAGAAAATTAATTATAGACGCCCTGGATCAAACCCCGGCAACTCCCTACAAAGATGACCGGAAAACAAGGACATCTTCAAAGACGTCTGGACAACACTTTATCAATCCTCCATGATTCCCGGACCTAATCTTACAAGGCGCTATCTAACCCACACCTAATACAACGCCTTACCCACCGCACGCACATCTACCCCCCGCCACTCCCCTCCCTCCTCACCCACAACCCCCAAACGACCCCTCCCTTGCTTCTCGCACCAAACCATACTTCTCGTCCCGCTCTCACAGCAATACCATCATACACACCCTTTGCGCTGCAAAACGGGGCTTCCAATACGATCGAGATTATTCCATCGTCAAGCGTGAAAGCGGAAAAGGAAGTGTAGCCTAGGCTAGAGAAGCAAAGGAAATCACAGACAAACAACGTGGTTATACGTGAGGGGAGGTGTGGAAGCGGGACTTACAAAGAGAGGGGTTGCGGATACAGGTTTCCAGATTCGAAGGGCGGGAAATCGGTGTTCTTTGCGATATCGTTTGCGAGAAGGCGGTGCTGAGAACTAATACCAGGATAGACATGAGAGATGAGAGAAACGCTCTGTTATGTACAGTAGAAATGTAGAATCGAGAGAATGAGAAAGAAGATCCTGCATAGATTGATAAAGCCCCTCTTCTTGCCTATTTCAACTCTTTTTTTTTTGCATGCAAGATGAGGTAATACCAGGTGTACACCAATGTATCTTTTCATTTACTACACTTTTCCTATATCTCTTTCTTAACACGTGGATGCACACGTTCTGAAATCTTAGTACGAAAAAGAACGCTAGTTCTAGCGGGCGCTTTAACTCACTGTACCTTAGGAGAAGATGCATGTGGGGTGCGGGTAGACTATACCGTTTAGGAATGCAGCGAGTAGCGTGGCGGTGGGCGGTGTATAACTTCAGTCAAAGAAAAAAAGGGGCGGCGGGAGGATGGCGAAGGGCAAGGCACGCAAGACGTCATACAGAGTCATATTTAGTGTTGAGAACCAGGTAATTGTATGACTGAATAATTCGTGATTGGAATACTATTCTACGGTTTAATTATGGGAAAAAAAGTGAGAGCCAAGAGCTGTGATTGGTGAGCGAAGATGGAAGAAGAACAAGAAGAAGAAACCCTTGGGAGCCGTGGTGTCGCTCTCCTGCTGCCGACAAACTTTGTCGCTTGGGTATGACCAACACCCCCAACGCCTAAACGATAGTACCTCCATCTACAAAACGTATCGTGACCTTTCTATCTGCATCTGTTATGCTAGACATATATCCCTGGAATCCGCTTGCGCTACCAGGTTGGTGTATTAAAAGCGAGGGGTGTTTAAGCAGGAGAAGCGATTGCGCCGTCACCTAGGACCCTCGCCACCAGGATGTAGAGCATCATTGTGCCAAGGAGAATCCTCCACTTGTTGCGACTCAACCAACTCTGGCCTGCATCCCGTGCTATTTGCGCAGCGTCCTGAACGACCGTTGCGCTGGTACCGGGTCGCCGTCTCAGGCCCGAGACGTCCGGCGAGCAAGGTGGGTGTTGTGCGGGTGAAGGGGCAGGCCGGGGTAAACCCGTGGCGGGATCGATGCGCTTTTCCTTCATCCACCTAAGGTTCTCCTCGTCTACGTCGGGCCACTCGTGTCGGAACTTTGCACCGCCGTCGCCTGCCCTGATGTTGCCGTTTTGACCGCCGGCCGCGTTGCCCGAGCCGATCGCCTTTGTGCCACCACCTGTACTGTTCCACCACCTCGTGCGCTGTGCAAAGAGTTTACGCTCTGCGTCGGATGCGCGGACACTACCCGTCGTCATCTCCTCGCTCGTCATGAAACTCAGCAGGCCAGTGAGGATGGTGCTGACTTCCCAGGCGGGATTGAAGCTCTTAGGGTGAAAGTCGGATATACTCAAGCACAACCGGCTGCTGGGCTGAAAGCGGCCAGAGGGTGTGTGCATGCGAATGGCAGGCGGGGCGAAGGGATAGTCTGGTGGGAAGTTGAGGGTGCCCCAGTACTGTCCGCCCTCGTACGGCGTGTCTGGCGGGCCGGTGATGATGTAGTGCCACTCGAGGATGTTCCGGTCCGAGGGATGTGCGGTAATGTAGGGCGGTGGAGATTTTGAAATGGTGGCATATTCTCTGGTGAGGCGCTTTGTGGCTGCCGGTGTCGCCATGTTGGGTGGGTGTGGTATGTGAAAGGTGGATGGGCTGGGGTTGTCGACGTGGTCCTATCTAGGGAATGGACACTGACGTGCTGTTTGTATGATGGCGACAAAGCAAGAGCAGTTGGCACGATGCGCCTGCTGTAGAAATGGGAGCGCAAACAAGCCGTAGTCTGAACTAAAAGAAGCAGAGGAAAACACAGGCGGTGAGAAAGAGGCAATAGGGACCAAGTAGGACAATGGAGGAGAAAGAAATAGACCGAGTCTGGGGTTCGGGGTCAAACTGTGGTCGGGAAGCAGGCGGCACGTGCGCCCCGACTCAGCCCGCAGCGGGCGATGCAGACTTCAAGGTTTCCGAACGTCTGCCAAGCATCACGCATCCAGACAACACACAGCCCAATGGCTTCGCCGCACGAAGACGATGTACGCAGTCTAGACACTTATTTATAGCTACTGGCGGCTAATTGACTGTTCAGGTCTTCGAAAGGCTCAAGAACAGGACGGACCTGAAGGAGCAGCAGCGACAGCAGGATGAGATCAACGCGCGATTGCAAGCTCAACAACAGCGGGCGCAACAGCGGCTGGGCGAATTGGTATGCGTCATGGAGATTGAGGGATATTAATCAATGGAATTACTAATTCTACTCCAGGTTGAAGACAATACCTCACTGCCAGTGACAATCTCGTCGGTCCGCGTGCTCCATGCCAATCGCACACGAAGAAGTTTCCTTGAGCGGGTGGTTGATCCTCTCCTGAGCGCAAACCGCACCGAGCCATATACGCTGGAAGAGGCGCTCAAGGAGGTGGGCGAGGCTACCGACAAGCTCAATCGTTTTGGTACGACCCCCACCAACTACTCGCTTTCACATGTCTGACACCCACCAGGCATCTTCAAGTCGCCAATTTCAGTCTACCTCGATCGCCCCAGCCAGACCATTGCCACATCCTCGCCTACTGATGTCGATGTCTACATCTCGGCCATTGAGCGCGGCAACTACACTATCAAGACCGGAACAGAGGCCGGCGCTTCAGAAGCAGACGCCTATGTCCATGCCGAACTCCGCAATCTGTTTGGAGGAGCAGAGACGCTCAATGCACACGGATCCCTGGGTACACGCACACGTTCCGCCTACTCTCTCGCTTTTGACACGCCCATCCTTGCCAACCCCAATCTCAAGTTCCAGCTAAACGGTTTCGCAAGTTCGACGCTCAAGAGCTGGGCAAGCCATGAAGAGGTTCTCAAGGGCGGAAACTCGAAGCTGCTATGGAGAATGAAGAATGGAGCTACGCACGAAATTGGTTACTCAGCGATTTGGCGGCAGATTACCAGCCTGGCAGAGAACGCTTCGCCTTCCATCCGCGCCGATGCAGGCGATTCTTTCAAGTCAAGCATTACGCACACCTGGCTCCAGGACAAGCGCGACTACCCCCTCCTTCCCAACAGGGGCTACATGATGAAGAGTGTGTCCGAGCTCGCAGGTTTTGGTCCCCTGAAAGGTGACACAGCCTTTTGGAAGTCCGAAGTTGAGTCACAAGTCGCACTTCCCTTTGGCAACACCGGCATTACTCTTACGGCTGGCCTACGAGGAGGTCTTCTCTACCCTATGAAGCTCGCTGGTGAAAATCAGTACCAGGCTTCCCGCATCAACGACCGCTTCCAGCTTGGTGGCCCCAACAATGTCCGCGGGTTCCGTCTTGCTGGACTTGGTCCCCGTGACGGACCTGATTCGCTAGGCGGTGACATGTATGCAGCTGGTGGGGCATCACTGCTCCTTCCCATCCCGCGTGTCGGCAAAGAGACTCCCCTCCGTCTTCAAGCTTTCATCAACGGCGGTCGTCTTCTTGCACTCAAGAACCCCAACTCCAAAAAGGAAGATGGATCCTTTGGCAGCTCAAGCGATGTCTACGGCGCTATCCGAAAATCCTTCTCAACCCTCACTGCCGAGATGCCGAGCGCAGCAGCCGGTTTCGGACTTGTGTACGCACATCCAGTTGCACGGTTTGAAATCAACTTTTCCCTACCACTAATCATGAGGGCCAAGGAAGAGAGCAGGAAGGGCTTGAGCTTCGGAGTAGGAATCGAATTCTTGTAGGCAATCTATATATATAGAGAAGAAGATATGTACATGTACTAGTAGGCTCTGTGTTGACTCAAGCAAGCAAGCAGAACACGTTTCACTTTCCGCACCTCCCTTTACTTTCGTGTTGAACGACCTTTGTGACAAGTGTCCTGCTCAAACACCAATAAGGGGGGGCACACCGTAGAAGAAAGGTGGCCACCCATCTAGCTCGCCACCAACTGCGGTCCCTCAAACACCTTCTTAGGATCATACACCGCCTTAAGCTTAACCAGCCTCTCATAATTCTCCCCCCAATACCTCTTATGCGCCTCATCCTTGGTCAACCTCGGATCCGCATAATTAATATACATGCCAAACTGCTCGCCAGGCGTCGCCTTCTCAATCGCACTGACCCAGCCATCCAGGAACGAAAAGTAGCTGCTCTGATATGTATCGTTGTTCATGATGCGGTCGTAGAATTGCATCTTGAACACGGCGTCGCGGTGCGAGTACGCCGTTGCACTGTTTGATACAGCTGAGACGGCCGAGTTCTTGCCGCCGTGCAGGTCAATGAGGAGGTACCAGCCACGGCGAATGTTGACGGTGGTGGTGAAGTAGTAGTCTGCGAGAGCGTAGATAGCTTTTTCAGAAAGTGGCTGTGTCATGAGGGACTTGGCGTAGAAGTTCTCGTGGGTGTCGTAGATTTCGGCTTGGGGCAAGGGGCCAAAGGCGAAAGCGGTCAGCGTGTCGATCCAGCCCTTGACGGAGACGGAGGCGCCGGAGCCGGTGCTGTTGGCGCCGATTTTCGACAAGAGGGGAAGCATGACTGCGTCGTAGGAGGAGCGGCTGCCGTAGTAGACGCCGGTGAGTTGGCCGGGGACGAAGGTGCGCATGTTTAGCTCTGGGGGTTGGTCGTACAGGCTGAAGTTTTGGAGGGTGGAGAGGACATGGGCGAGTTGAGAGGTGTTGGAGGGGGAGAAGTTGTAGGTGAAGTTGATGATGTTCTCGGGGGCGTCGTAGGTTTTGAACTTGAAGTCGACGACGATACCGAAGGCGCCGCCGGCACCGCGGAGAGCCCAGAAGAGGTCGGGGTTCTCGGTGGCAGAGGCTGTTACGACTCGGCTGTCTGCCAGAACGACCGTCATGGAGATGACTTGGTCGAGGGCGAGACCGTGGGTGCGCGAGGAGAGGCCGTAGCCGCCATGGAGAGTAAGGCCTGAGATGCCAACGCTGTAGTGATGGTGTTAGTAAAGGGTTTCTTCAGTGATGGATATTTTTTGCTCTGTTGAAGGCTTACCCAGGACAGGTTCCATGGCTGAAGGCTTGCTTTCCTTGAGCATAGAGCTTTGTTGCAATGTCACCCAGTCGTCCACCTGCTCCGATTATAGCAGTATGAGCAACTGGATCGGCAGTGACGTTGTTGAAGCGACGCATGTCAATGACCAAGTGGCCATCCTCTCCTCCGAGACCAAAAGAGGCATAGCTATGTCCTCCGCACTTTGCAGAGACTCGTAGTCCGGCCGCAACACCGCAGGCTACGGCGTCTTGGATGTGCTTGATAGTCGATGGCACAGCATAAGAAGCAGGCGTGATAGGCACACGAAGGTTGAACGGCTTTATTGCCTGAGTGTAGTTGCCAGTGCTCTTGGCGAAAACGGGTACACCATGAGAGGCAAGGCACTCGTCAACAGTAGCACGCTTGTCGAGGGGGTTGGCAAGTGTGGTGGTGGAAAGAAGCGTAGCCAAGGCCACGAACCAAGTAGAACAAGCTTTCATGCTGAAGAGGGGTAGGAATAGACTTCACAGCAGCTATTGAGAGTGATCGACTATAATTGTAGTCATCCCATTGCTTAAGTGTTTCTTGTGCCCGCAGGAATGGGGAAATTGACCAACACACCCTACTTTGCGAACTGTACTCTAGCAAAGAAGGCCACGGCTTGAAATGAGCGGATCACGCGAAGAAGCATCCACATAAACTTTCGAGATGCAGCCGCGTGTACTTTGCAAGGAAAAAGGTCCACAAGTTTTTCTTGGTTCTCCATCGGAACCATGAAGGCGCGCCCGATAGCACGCCAAGTATAGGCCGGTGTTGCGTATAACATGACTGCATCATCCGACAAGATGGTGGCCGGGGAGCACCGTGTGTAAGTACTAGGAGAGGAGAGTTTATCGTTCTGACATCATCCGTGTGGGGATTGGCGGAGAGGAAGATTAGATATTGACTAGTTGTCTAAAACTCGACAAGGTCTTAGGTGATGGACGGCAAGGCTCTCTTTGCCGGCATATACGAGCCTGAGGGCGGGGCTTGGCGGGGGCGGCAGCGGCAGCCATGTTCCCGGCCAACGGCGCTGCCAAGCCGCGCCCCTAAATTTATATCCGACACGTGAGTGACATAGCCGGTATACATAGTTGTTTAATTTCCCCAGCTTGATCTACTCGGCCACGCCATCCGGCTGAAACAAATCATTCCCCCGTCCAAACATGGCCTCAGATTACGATAAATTGTCCGCTGTGTCGTCTTTAACCGGCTTGGAATTGCATGCTTCTCCACAGGGAAGCTTTCCCCCGTCCTGCACTCCCATTTCATGCTGCAGCCCGGCTCTTTAGCCCGCGCCGGTTGTGGCTGCGTGTTTCAGCGTGCCCGGTGGGAATTCTCCTCTGCGTGCGCGTGCCATTAACTTCATCATGGCGGAGATTCGAGAGGGACACAATGCAAGCCTACAAAACCGCACCATTGCCCGCAGTCTGAGGCCCACACCCGTCTGTCTCCATCGTCGCTCATTATGCTGTCTACCAACCCCTTTCTTCTGCCGCTCTTCGGCTCCGTTGCGAGCGCCGCCAACCTATGGGCTAGCCATTATTCGGGTACCCTCAACTACCTCACTTTTAGCGGAAACTCCTTGACTCTGACCGGCTCAACACCTACCGGCAATAACTTGCCAAGCTGGCTTACATACGACCATGCGGGAAAGGCCATCTACGTTGCAGACGAAATCTTCACGGGTCAGAGCGGGGGAAATCTCGTGTCCTTTGCTGTCGGCAACAACGGTACCTTGAGCTCGCAAAGAAAAGGCCCGACCCCTCAGGGCGTCGTCGCAACGACGCTCTATGGTGGTTCTGACGGGCGAGGCTTTATTGCCAATGCTCACTAGTAGGTCAACACGCTCTCCACATGTCAGCAGCTGCTAACCTCCAAACAGCCAAACTTCCCAACTGACGACTTTCAAGCTGCCATTGGACGGCCAGCAGCCACTGCAGACAATCAAGTACGTTGGCAAGAGTGTCAACCCTTACCGACAGGAGGCCGCTCATCCCCACCACGCCTTTGTGGACCCAACTGGAGATTTCCTCATTGTGCCGGATCTTGGATCCGATCTCATCCGTATTCACAAGATTGACAAGAATTCGGGAAAGCTCACGGAATGCACCCCTGCAAAGCCCGTTCCTGGAACCGGACCCCGCCACGGCGTCTTCTGGAAGCCCTCGGCGAAATCCTCCCGAATCCGACAAGCTGGAGCCAACACGGTTCTCTTCATCGCCAATGAGCTGTCCAACAGCATCTCTGGATGGGCTGTATCCTACCCCTCTGGAGGATGCCTGACTTTGACCCTCAAGCAAACATTGACCCCATACCAAGGCAACGCCACCGCCGTTACCGGTACCAAGGTTGGCGAGATCCACGTCAAGGACCAATACGTCTACATTTCCAACCGAAACGACAAGAAGTTTAATGGCCAAGACTCCATTACTCAGTACACCATTGACTCCACCGGAGGTCTTACGTGGACTGATCTTACTTCGTCTCACGGCACTTATCCCCGCACTTTTGACATCAACAAGGCGGGCGACTTCGTGGCCATTGGCGACCAGACCACTGCAAATGTCGCTATTGTTACCAGAGATGTCAAGACTGGCAAGCTCGGCCAGAAAGTAGCTGACTTGAGGATTGGTGCTGCCGGCAGACCTGAGAACGAGGACGGTCTGAGCGCTGTTGTATGGGCCGAGTAGTAAGCCGTATGTCACTCTTACTGTGTGATCAATCGGCAGGTAGAGATTCATGTACATAAGCACTAAAGCAAGTTTGGTTGCATACAGGCCCGGGGGGGTCCAAGAGAGCGGAGAGACTCTATACTGTATTTAGCCACGAGAACTACCCTTGGTATATATTTACAAAACTATACTATTTAGCGTCGTATTACTTTTTTCTCCTGTATCAAGTGCATCTAAAGGAGAAGAGCCTTAAAATCATTTATTTTGGCCCGTCTTCACTTGTGAAGAAGAGTTTAGCCTTGTAACTGCAGTGTAACAAATTACTTCCCATTCCCTTCCGCGTTAAAGGGCTGCATCTAGCTGTGGCTGCTCGTTTATCCCTGCCATGAGCTACCTAACAATCAAAGTTGCACTGTATAGCATCATAATTGCTACCCCCCGTACCAAAGCAGTCTCCCTGAGTGTACGAACGCCCGTTGTACTGGAACCTTACTCCGGAAATAGTCCGCGTACCAATATTGTAGGCACCAAAATACAAGTTCGGGCCGTACGTCGTGGTGAAATCCGCACTCCATCCATTGCCTCCTCCTTCCGCCTTCAATTTCCCATTTGCAATAATGTTATCGCAATTACCACCGACGACCTTGACACCACGCCCTGTTGTAGATGATCCGGGGATTCCGAAAGATGCCATTAGAACCCATACGATAACTGCACACTTGTGCGCGCCGGGGGCTTTGCATTGGACATCGCGAGCCTGGAATGGAATGAGGTGCATATCCTGAAGCGTTATTGGAAAGGGTTTTGTTACCTCAATAGATGAAGGTGAACGATGTTCCACATCTATCACTGATGCTTCGATAGCGTTGGCAAGCATGGCCATTCCCACGATGCTAGAAAGCTTCATATCGGAGAGCGGATACTTTGTTGGCGTCTATATTTTAGAGGGAAAAGGTGCCGCTCAGTGGTTAAGTACATTATGTAAAGGATGACCGATGACAAGAATCTCAAAGTGCTGCAGAAGCTGTCATGTCTTGAACCAGTGGCATTATATACTCCATTCTGGCATTCAACTACGCTCTCATGCCTGGGCTGATAGGATCGGATTGTTAGGCAATGTAACGTTAACGTTGGGCCTTCAGCGGTAAGGATTATACGTGGAGATAGAGTGAAACTTGCTCGTGTTGTAAACCTCCCTGACAACAAGAATTCGACATACGAGGTCGGAGTTGAAAAGCATACTTCAGCAATGTTCCCCTCACCTGGAATACTAACTCAGCTCCGCTAGACTTGAAACCACCATAATTTATATCAGCGCTGATCGTCGTAGTAATTCGGCGGAGAACCTAGTTAAAGGGCCACGCGTTGTAACCTTTGTTATATAGATAGAGCTAGATTTCGGTTCACCTACTATACCTGTGAAAGAGTAACTACTCGGCTCTCTAAGAGTAGAATTATGTGTCACTAGTAACGTTGATCACGAGCCATCTGCCGCTAGGCCTGGCAGTAATTCATGACTGACTTAATGTTTTTTGTTTACGTTTGCTATATAGCGTATCAGATCAATTATCTCGGAAAAGAATGGCAAGCCACATCCCAACTTGCCGGAATCGGTTATCAAAAAAAGATTGACTTTGCAATCAGGGTAAAAGGGTTCGAATGAAACTCAGCAAGACCCTCGCTTGAACCCGTAATCCATGTTGTAGGTGGATTAACTACTGTAACACTTACCGTGCACATGGCTTCCTTGGCATTATAGTAAGCACGCTACGTGCCGTTGGTACGAAAACTCTATTCGGGAAGCTGATGGGAAGGCCCGGTTATTAGATACGATGTATATATTATATTCTTATTCAAACTTTGGGCTAATTGGACTGATGACATTCATGTTCGTGGAGAAATCGTTTATCGGGGCGAAAGGTGTGAATGATGTGATCCGCCAAGATGCTAGGACGCTAATTAGTAGTCATGATTTCCGTGCTACTAGGAGCTATATCACTTTCGTGCTCTGTGTACAAGCTATGTGCCGTGTCCTACAGCCGAGCAAATAAAGGTATCGGCAGCATAACTCTGTGGAAGCGGCATGTACACAACTCAAGCACAATTCTTCGAAAACCTACATGTACCAATCCCACTGATTACAATAAAGATTCGTAACCCCCTCATGCCCTACACTACAGTTCACAGTATTTGCAGAAAAGGTAGAGGACGTCTGCTACTGTGATTTCTTATCACCCAAAAGCAGAGATCACTGATAATTAGTCACTGACTGATTCAAATCCTTGCGTCAATTGAAGCCAATACTGAGTACACTGGCAAGTGTTCCACGTTCGACTGTTCATTAAGCTTTCCTTTTACAGCATATTCGCATTCAAAACAAACGCAAATCACAGAGAACACCTAGAGTTTCATCAGAACTAATACCAACGAACAAGCATAGAGCACACATGGCGTCTGGAATAAATCCATGAATCATCGATCGAATAGTGTTGATTTCTACGTACGTTGCGAGACTGAATTGGACATTCCATTGCGAAGAGCCAGGTACAAACGCTAAAATTCGACTGCTGAAATGGCCATCATTGCCATGTCTGCACGTCAGCTCCTTGTATATCGAGCTCGTCGATCCTGTTCCAAGGGAATTTTTAATGTTCACCCATGACCGAAATCAGGCTCACAGCAACATCTTCCAGACCATGATATTTATCCATGTAGTACATGGCGTCTGCTGGTAAAATGTTTTCTCCTAGGTTGATTCTTCAGGAGATCATGAGAATGCCTAGGCTGTGGATTTGATAGATGAGCTGAATACTACAACAGTATGAAAGACTTCTAATACGTTTACGATAATAGGTAATGTGTTTTTTTAACGAAGCGCAATGTTTTTTAAAGATACATTATAAGAAGAGGGCGAGCTTGAAGTGACTTATATCACGAGTCGCTCATATCATGACAATTTGCTGATGGGAAAATCTACTATAATCGTATTTGCGGGAAAGATTATAACTTTGAGGTTTTTTGTGTGGTGCCGATAGTGATCTCATTCAAACAAGACCAAACTAGAAACCACTACCATGACTTCTAGTAACCATCATCCATATCAATATCTGTCCCAATGTCCCCATCAAGGAAGTACCACACTCCTTTGTACCTACCACCACCCATCCTCTTCCCTTCACATCCATCCCCCCTCCCTATTCCACCCCAGTAATTCCCCATTATTCTCCCCACTAACATTCTTACCCAGCATGTCCCAAACCGTCAACTTCCTCACAAACTTCGCCAGCCTCCCTGCCACAGCCCCATCATCCCACGCCCACATCATCAGCGACTTCGCCTGCAGCACCTCGACCCCCCACATCCAAGACGCCATCGTCACTCTCGTCTACAAAATCTCACCCAGCACACTCTTCACATTCCTCGAACCCGACATCAAAGAATTCCAACTCGTGCAGACGCGCAGGCAAGGCAAGGACGCAGGCGAGAAGCTCGTAGTTATGAAACGAGGCCGTAAAGTCATTGTACGAAAAATCTACGATCCTACGATCCTACTCTCGCCCAAAGCTTAACTTTATACATTTTATCATGACCTAATCAAAGCACTTTAAAACCACCGTGTACCATTAACGCTGCACAAGATAGGTCTCGCAAACCCCTCCCCAGACCTCTTCGACACCCTCGAATTCGACAATCTCGTTCGCTTGGAAATCGACAAAGAGGGAGCGTGGAAAGTCATGTATGCGTCGTATCGTGATTACTTTCGCGAGAGCTGGGATGATGTTTGGGATGGTATAACGGTGAATCGGGGGTGGGATGATCTTAGTCTCAGGGCTTGGGTGGAGGACCCGAGGTCGGAGAGTAGGAGAACGTTGGAGATTTTGGCGGATGAATTGATGTGGGTGGTGCTGAGGGGGAGGGTGTGGGAGGTAGGGGGGTTTGCGTCGACGCTCGTTACTGGGTAGTGAGGGTGACGAGATGGAGGCTTGGGTGTTTGGGAGTATGGTTTGGCTACAGGGGTTGGGTTATCTGTGTGTGGTGTGCTGCATCGAGTACATCAATTCGCTAATGTTTGCGTATGTGCACAGAATTTCTACCCATCCACTTCGTTTCCTCAATTGGCATACAATGTGTAATGCGTTGAAAGGCTGATAGACTTCGACATTTCATGCTAATTATCAATTTGATTAGTTTTCTCAGCAACATGTTCTCCCAGTCGTGTTATATAATTCATTTCTTGGAAGCCATGTACACCTTCACGCAATAACGAGCGATAATCTTGAATTTAGTTATATCCAGTGATTAGAGATTATGCTATTGCAAACACTAACCATTTAAAATACCGTATATACTCTGTCAAATCTCACTGATTCCTTCATCTCTCATCGTTGTTCAACTGCATTAAAGTGTCACACTCATCACCTCGCCCATCTCATCATTCACCAGTAGCCCAATCTCCCAACCCTCCCATATAAACTCCAAACACTCCCAGCACCTCCAAATCCAAATCAACCAACCAAAAGAACTTCAATTACTCCACTCTCATCTGCAAATCCAACTAAAAAAACCCCCCAATCAACAATGCCCTCCAAAACCACCTCCACCACAACAAACCTCTCCACACACCCCCACCACTCCATCCAGCAGGGCCCTCAACTCCCCCACCAAACCCTCCCCATCAACGAGCGACAACAAAACCTCAAACTACACCACCGCCTTCTCACCCCTCCCCCCTTCTACCTCAGCAACCCACGCCCACATCCTCAACCTCCACTCCCCTCCCGCGCACCCAACCCTACAAGACACACTCGTAACAACCCTCTACCACACCTCTCCGGCAACGCTATCCCGCTTCCTAGACCCCACGGTGCATAATTTCAAGGAGATACTCGAAAAAAAAGGGGGGATGTGAAGTTGGTGATTTGGCTTAAGGGGGGGTTGAAGTATTCGTATGTTCCCCTTCTTGAAATCCCTTTTTTTCCCCTCCTCCCTCCTTATCCCCCTTCCTCCTTTGTCCTTCTCCCCCCCTTTGTTCCCCCCCCCCCGTATTTCCCACCTGAAGCTAACAAGAAACGTGGAAAAAAAAACACAGATCGGCACATTCCAACATCACACACAACCCAAGGCGTTTCGCTTCACGCATCTCGCGGGTTTGCTGGTCGGATACGATGGGAGTTGGCGTGTTATGTGTGTGTGTGTGTGTGTGTGTGTGTGTGTGTGTGTGTGTGGCGGCGAATGCGTATTGTGCGACGAGATGGAGTGAGGTTTGGGCTGGGGATGAGGTGGAGAAGGGGGTTAGGGAGAAGGGGGCTAGGGAGATGGTGGGGATGGTGCTTGCGGGGAGGTTCTGGGAGGGGATGATGGGGAAGTAGTGGTGGGAAGTATTCGAGGAACAAAGATGCGAACGAAGAGATGAGCAGGATATGCGATTCCAAGGGAAGATATCCACAATTCTCTATTGGATGCCAGAGGTGACGTATAATGATATGAGAGAAAAAAAGAAACATAGGGTGTATATGCAAAACGCCATCGTAAAAGGGACCAACCGTCTATTCAAAACTCAGTTGACCCCAATTCATATCTCAATGCCCCGCTCATTGTGTAGAGGAGAGAAAATTCCCTTTTCCTCGAAAAAAAAAGAAGAACTTATTCGTCTAATGGGCACCAAAACGCCAGACGCAAATGTGACAGTATCTAAACAACGACACACGAAAAATCACCATGTCCCAGGTCCAAACGTCTCTCCCTTCGGGACTTCCTTATAAGGACAAGCCTGCCAATCGCAGCCCTATTCAAAAATTAGCAACATACATCAACCACACAACAGACGACAAATATGTTACCTGCTTATAAACCTCGGTACCCCACCACTTAAACCCGCTCATCCACCCAGGGTACACGATACCGAAGAAAATAACGACAACACCAAAGGCAAGCCCAGAATCCAGGGCAGCACTAAGCATCATATTATACTTTTTCCACCAGGCATTGCGTCGATTCTTGATCTCGTAGTTGAAAAGATAGCACACCATTGCCCAGACGGAAAAGTTGAGGCCGGTAGCCGGTGGGATCCAGCTTAGGCTGCCGAATACGACGGCGAGGTTTACTTTGCTAAGGATGGACTTGCGGTCGCCGCGGGCAAGGTAGTATAGGATGACGGGGGCGATAGCGCCGACGGGGAAGGCCCAGACGAGGTGTTGGTAGAGGGCGCCTGGGCCGAAGAATTTGCCGGGTCCGACGACGCCCCATAGGATGCTGCCGTTGAAGTGGACACGGGCGATGGGGCAGTTGAAGCCGTTGATGGCGTCGGGGGTGCAAATGCCAGGGATGTAGTTGAGCATCCAGTTGAGCACGCCGATTTGGGTCAGACTGGATACGATGGTCACAATAAGCTGCAGTTTGAACAGGATTCGTGGGGGAATCTTCATGTAGTGGCCGAGCTTGAGGTCGGATGCAAACTTCAAACCTTGCGTCGCGGAGATGTAGCCAAATGTAGTGAATACCATATTGGCGACGGGACGACCGGGGAATACGACGCCGCAGATGAGCTGGCAGATGAGGTAGATGCTGCTTTGTTGGTTCGTAATGGCCATGACAATGCCGATTGGGATAAAGAGTACCGCACCGATTCCGAGTGCGAGCAAGAGACCGTACCAGGGGAGATAGACAGGGTAGTACTCGACAACGAACATACCCACAGCTGCCATGCTGACACCAGTGAACAGATACCAAGAAATCGGCACATCTTCGTATCTTCTCATCAGGCGGTTGTGGACATCTTCGGCCGACAAAAGGTCCTCGACATCCGGCTCAGAATTTGGACTAGGTCTTTGTAGAAACCCAGCAGGAGACGCAGGACATGCGTTGTCTTCGGAACTAGTGGTCAATGGCTGATAATCAGCTGCTGATTCTTTTCTGATTTCGGCCCATGAGCGACGCCACTGCCTCCAAATATCCTTTCCGTACCAAAGCCCCGTATGCGAGAGCAGAGCGGTGAGGCCGGCGAATTGCAGAGCATAACTGAGCACATATGTAATGGGAAGGTATACTCGGCTGTACTTTCGGTACGCCTCTTCGTCAAATAGGAAATTCTCGGTCAAAATCTTGCTGACGTCGTATGGCTTTCCGCGGTTGTCCCAAACGGCAGAGGATAGAATGGGCATGTATGACGAGTAGAGGACGTTTTTGTAATCTCCACATTGTCAGCACCTCAGGAAGGAAGTTACCGTGGCATACTTACACATTATTGGCGCTGCAATCCACATGACGCCGACAAGACCTCCAAGAATGTTCATGGCAGCCCAAAACGGCGTAATCAGCGGAGATCCAATATATGCAATTTGTGCCCAATCAAAGGTGATAGGAAATAATCCAAGACCGGATGAGATTCCAAACTGCAATGCATAAGTATGGTGTGCGGTGTTTCTTCATGTTCATGTTTAACATACCAGGTTAGCAACAACAACATTCTTGGGTGCAAACCAAGTGAGTACGTTGAAATAACTCAATGCAGGGAAGAGTAAGCCGGGAAGGAAGTAAAAAGCAACGGATCCTAGGAATATGCGGACAAAAAACTTGCGCGGCGCAATGGTCCAGCCATCAGCTGGTTTATTCTCGTCTTTGTGAAGTGCAGTGAACATGGCTGTAGAAACCAATGTGCTTGGCCAGATCATGCCGCTTGGCCGGACGAGATAGCGCCTGGTGATGCCAGCAAGGGAGTAGCCCAGGATTTGGGTTGAGAGGATGAGCAGCACTTGGTACATGATGCCAAGGTCCTGACGGTAGAACTTGACCTGCTCAACAATGACCTGTAGATGTCAGTATCAGAAATGGGCATTTTGCCAGGTTACACACGTCAGTTGCAAAGGCAAAGCCAAAAGACACATTGCTGCTGACGTATACGCAGCAATGCTCTTTTTCATTCCAGCGGCCTTGGGCAAGCCAAAGACGTGTGCGACGTGTCCAGCTGGATTTTGCACTTGATTGGGGTGAGGTCGTCTGGACGCACCCATCGACAAAGGTTTCTTCGGGGTCGCTTGAACGCTTAAAGAGTTGGTCCCAAAATAGGCCCATGGGGTGGACGAGTAGTAATGCAATAATAGGAGTAAGGCTAACGCTAGGGTATCGTAGGGAAAAGAAGAGGTTGGTAGAAGAGCCAGCAATGGAGAAGAGGATGGACAGGAACCACATGCGAGGGGTATCAATGGACAAGGAGAGGTTGTCGGTAGCGGCTACGGATGCTCTTACTTGAGCGTAGGGCGAGTTGTCGGAAGGGTTTCCCTTCATATCGTGCAAATCAGCGCCGTGGTCCTCGTCTGAGGCTTCATCATCGTCTAGCGTAGTGCTTGAAGAGGCAGAGCTGTCAAACAATGGGGCGCCGGCGGTGGAAGGATCGAGGCCGCTTGCGTTGAATTTTGCCTCGAAACGAGATTCCTCGTGCCCAGCAGAGGCTACACCAAGCGTTGTGCTGCTACGACTAGCGTCTCCTGTCCTGCGACGCGACCCAGCGGCGCCCAGTAATGAATCACCATTGGAAAGCCTACTCTTACCCTTTTTCTTTGGCAAGGCCCCAGCTATATGATTTTGGTCAGGTTCGTCAGGGCTCGACGAAAGAATGGGCAGGACGCCATATGAGCCTGGCGGTGCGGTCAGCACGTGCTGCAGGAAAAAGGGCAGTGGGCCAGTCTTGTGCGCCGTTGCTCGTGTGCGCCCATCTAAAGGGGGCGAAGAGGCGAAGGGAGAGCAGTGGATAGAGCGCGTCGCAAATAATAATTAGCTTACCTGTACCCTGGGCTGGGCTGGACCTCACCAGGAGGGGCACTCTTGACATGGTTTTCGTGAGAGATTGGGGAGAGTTGTGGGAGCGTTCAGCTGGCAGATCAAGGTCGTCATCAGAGCTGGATTGGGATGTGTGCAAGAGTGTTGCTTTTGCTGGGAGGACCTGTAACTCGACGCTGACAGTCACGGTCGCAGGCACGGGACGGGACGGGTGGCGCGTGTGTCCGGGAGGATAGGCAGGCGAGGGAGCAGCAAGTGGCAGGAGCGACTCGTGCCCGGCCTCGTCATCCATATGTACTGAGGGGCGCATCCACAAATGTCGCCAGGAGGGTGCGAGTGGTCCTGTTTGTCACGCCTAGACAGCTTCACGCGGGAAGATAATCAGATGATCAGATAATATTCCACAAGGCGCCGCTGGATTGGGCCGTAATTCTATTCTTTGCACCATCTGATTAGGCAGAACCGCGGCCGAGCCACCATGACGTGAACAAGGCTGGGCCACGGCCAATGGCGCGTGCAGACTCTTTACATTACGCGGTTAGATCCGAACGGCCATGTGGGCGTGGGGGGCCCATCAAACCATTGCCGTGCGCGCCAGCCGCCGCCTGCAGGTCACGGCCTCCTACCTGCATGCCAGTGTGCGCCCCGGCTATCTATGTACTGCGTAGAGCCACAGCGCATCGCCATGTAGCACCTGTCCGACTTTGTTTTTCTCCCTCATACATATATATCGCCTATGGCATAGTCGCATGTTTGTACAGCGCACCCGCACCTACATGATTCCCCTCAATGTGACGTAACCTCTTCTTCCTTCACATGCACATGACCAGCTACGCCCGCATGGCCATTGGCTCGACTACCGGCGGTGAGGCTCTCAACCATCTTGATAGCGCCCTCGGTGTCGTCCTTGTTGTACAGAAACAATCCCTGCAGCGATGCAGTACTTACTGCATCCACGAGCCCTAGCTCTCTGGCCCTGGCCATAAATCTCTGCTTCGCTTCCCCACTTGCATCGAAATCGGCGTAGAACCGATCCCAGAGCTGTTCGATCTGGTACTCCGTCGCCTCACCCAGTCGCACAGTCATGTCCACGCGTCCTGGCCTCACAAGCGCCTCATCCAGCCTCTCGATATG